CACTGTTCATATGATACAGTTGCTGCCCAGAAACTCGTTTAGAATTTCATCCTCGCTTTAGCTTTTACCTGGGTTTCTTTTATGTATTTATTTAGAGATGGGTGGGGCGGGGTGCTGTGGCTTCCGCCGGTAATCCCCTAGCTTTGGGAGGCCGAGGTGGGAGGATTGCTTGAGGCCAGGAGTTCGAGATCAGCCTAGGTAACATAGTGAGAGCCGTTGTCCCTCAAAAATATTTTTTAAATTATCCGGGCACACGCCTGTAGTCCCAGCTACTTGGGAAGCTGAGGGGGAGGAGTGGTCATGCCACTGCATTCTGGCCTGGGTGACAGATCCAGACCTGACTCTTAAAAAATGGGAAATACAAGGTCTTGCTCTGTTGACCAGGCTGGCCTCCAACTCCTGGGCTCAAAGAATGAGTAGCCGGGCCTACAGGTACACTCATGGCGCCCAGCTTTACCTAGAATTCTTTTAATATGTTTGTTTCTTGATAAAGACATTTGGAAGTAATCGATTATAGTGATATACTCAGCAGATAAAATAACTGGTTTGATATCACCAAAAAAGTTTATTGAGCATCTATTGGATACATTGTACTACAACAGACAGAAAATAATATCTCATTCATTTTTCCCTATTGGGCTTCCGAATGAAAAATACACACAAATGATGTTTAAGCAATACTACATGCTTCTAAAAGTTATAAATACAGTTCTTTAAATAAGATTTTTAATGCATTAGGGAAAGTCAGGTAGATTCTTTTTAAAAAAACAATTACCTGCCAATTTATTTGCTACATAAAATTAGAGTTGAAATAGATTCTCTTATGGGAGATCCATATTCATATAGAAATTTGTTTTAAACTAGTATTTTTGATTGGCTGGATAGAAATTGCACATGATCTAAAGACCCTATATAAACATGTGCAATTGAAACATAGCTATTAATATTTCATTGATTACTTTTCAGAATTGGCAACTTAATGACTTTGGTTAAAAGTTACCAGGAATGTAGCTGAATACCTTGTTGTTATATTCAAATAATTGTCATTATTTGCACATTTTATTCTCATAAATATAATTTCTCATTTTCTTAATATTCCAGTTTTCCACAACATTTGGGAAGATTTATAAGGTATACTACATTTAGGCAAAAATAACTCCCAGGAATAGTCATTGTCAAGAGCAGTTTGTATTACAACCTACAAGGTTAAGATTTTTTTAATACTTTTTTATAGTAAATTCTGGCAATGGAGAAATTAGTTGAGATCTAAATCTTACAGACCTTTTGAAGTTTCTGTTTATGTAAAAAAGTAAGATAAAAATAACTTGCAAAAATGAAAAATCCATTCTAAAAGTGTTTCTCATACAGCATTCTCTACATAAGCTCAAGTGACAAACTTTTTTGCAGTTTTCAACTCAATGTAAGTAATATGAAAAATGCAAAACTGCCACTTATTTGCATTTTGCTTTTCTTTTAAAAGCTATTAACATTAGCATCTCTTTATATTTGGTATTATGCATATAGAGCATTTACTTAACTAGCAGTATTCTAGTAGTTTTGTTCGCACGTGTATTTGTAGCCCATATTCTTATAAATCTGGAGTTGTATTAAATATTCCAAGTTGGTGGTGGATTCCTTGGTCCTTTGGGTTTTGAAAAACGGTTTGCAAAACCTGGAAACAAAAATAAAGTTGAATGAAAAAAAGATGTTTTAAATATAGAAATGAATACTTGGCTTTTAGAGTATATTATATGCAAATATGTGAACTTTTTTTAAAGGTTAGGCAGTATCTTGACCAATTTAGTAATAGATTGTTAAGTCATTATAGTAATCTAAAGTTTAAATAACAGAATACTAATAACACTTTAAATTTGTCGAGCACTTAAAAATTTAATAATGGTAATAATAGGATGAAGAACACTGGTTATATACAGCTTTTGATAATTTAGTATATAATATCATTTATCTGTGACTTTTTGTCATCCACTCCTAACCATCAAACGAAGCTGGGAAATTTTAATTTCACAAAAATAGAGCACCGTTATTTATAACATTATTGTATTACATCCAGTTATACCTCTATGTCGATCCAGAAATCCTTCAGTTTACTAAGAGATTATGGTTGAAAAGCTTAGAAAAAATAAACAATCCTGAAAAACTAAGTAGGTAAGTATTATTATCATTTATCTTTATTCTTCAAACCTTGTTCCCCCTACCTCACCCCAAAGAGGGGAAGATGAGGAAATTTTCACAACTACTTAAGGCTATTTTTGGATGCTTTCAAAAGATGTGCAGGTTGATGACGTTGGTTCTTTATCACTTTAGCAACATATGACTTTTATGACTTTTCTTTAATGGCGGTGTCTTTTTTGTTTGTTGTCTCCCAGGCTGGAGTACAGTGGCGCAATCTTGGCTCACTGCAACCTCTGCCTCCCAAGTTCAAGTGATTCTCCTGCCTCAGCCTCTCAATTAGCTGGGATTACAGGCATCAGCCACCATGCCGAGCTAATTTTTGCATTTTTAATAGAGATGGGTTTCACCCTGTTGGCCAGGCTGGTCTCAAACTCCTGACCTCAAGTGATCCACCTGTCTTGGCCTCCCAAAGTGCTGGGATTATAGGTGTTAGCCACCATGCCAGGCCTAATGGCAGTGTATTTTTAAGTTATCTTACACTAGCAACTTTAGGGGTTTAAAATGAGAAACGAAAGGTTTGAAATGCAGGGGAATAATAAAATGGAAAACTCAAAGATATTCCTAAAACTTTAATTTCATCATCATACAAATTGTATTATCTTACAAAATTGATGTAAGGATCAAATGAGATATTTGCGTAAGAATCGATTGGGGCAGGGTGCAGTGGCCTGTAATCCCAGCATTTGGAGGCCTATGCAGGAGGAATTGCTTGAGCCCAGGAGTTCAAGACCAGCCTGGGCAAATTAGTGAAACCCTGTCTCTACAAAAAAATACAAAAAAAAATAGCTGGATGTGGTGGCTTGCACCTCGGGTCATTTGAGCCCAGGGAGGTCAAGGCAGTAGAGGAAAAACAAAACAGAAAACAAAACAGCATCCAGCACAATGCCTGGCACATAGCAAGTACTCAAATGTTGCTCAGGCCAGTCATGGTGGCTCACATCTATAATCCCAGCACTTTTGGAGGTAAGTTTGGAGGATAGCTTGAGGCCAAGAATTCACATAGTAACTACTCAAATGTTGCTTAAATTTCAACCTAGAAGCCAGGCACAGTGGCTCACACCTGTAATGCGAGAACTTTGGGAGGCCGAGGTGGGTGAATTACCTAAGGTCAGGAGTTGGAGACAAGCCTGGCCAACATGGTGAAACCCCGTCTCTACTAAAAATACAAAAATTAGCTGGGCATGATGGCAGGCACCTGTAATCCCAGTTACTCAGGAAGCTGAGGCAGGAGAATTGCTTGCACCTGGGAGGCCAAGGTTGTAGTGAGCTGAGATTGCACCACTGCACTCCAGCCTGGGCAACAGAGCAAGACTCGGTCTCAAAAAAAAAAAAAAGTCAATCTAGAAAACTATGCCAGAAATGGAAGAGAAGGAGAGTAGGGAAGGGGAAGGAAGGCACATTCAAATTTGTTAATGGTGATGATTTTAAAAAATTGGTGGAGGGGACACACAGCCTAGTTCATGCACATTTTACTCTTCTGAGTGGTAAGAAAGAAGATGGAAGGAATACTTCTGGTTAAATAGTTTCACACACAATAGTCAGAATCATCCTGTCAGTACAGATCACTTGATTGTAAGCCAAGTGAATTAGGAGTAGAGGTAAGGACATATGTTAGTACTGAGTACCTAAAATTTTAGGAATACCTATATTCAGTCTCTTTCACAGATCAATAGTTTAAAACAGTTTCAAGCTACCTTTTTTTTTTACATGGGAGCCAATTCAGGGAAAATAAACTTGAACCCCAAATTTTTTATTCAGATTTAACTACTTTTTTGAGTAACATGCCCTTAAATTGATGTCGCCTGAAAAAAGTAAGTGCTGATTCTTTGGGGTTTTTTTCCAAGACAGGGTCTTGCACTGTCACCCAGGCTAGAGTGCAGTGGCGTGATCACAGCTCTCTGCAGCCTCAACCTCCCGGGCTCAAGTGATCCTCCCACCTAAGCCCCCTGAGTAGCTAGGAGTACAGGCACATGCCACCATGCCTGGCTAGTTAAAAAAAAAAAAAATTGTAGAGACATAGTCTCACTGTGTTGCTTAGGCTAGTCTCAAACTCCTGGCCCCAAGCAATCCTCCTTCCTCAGCCTCCCAAAGTGCTGGAATTACAGGCATTGAAAGTGTTGCTTTTTAAGTAGGTAAAATGTTCATTTAGGCATATTTGAGAGGAAGGAACATGGAGGCAGCTCTCTAATATTTTATCCTCATATTGGATTATATAGACTGTTGTTAAGCTAGGTAGGCCTAGAGTTACTCAAGTTGTATCACTGATTTAGAGTAAAGAAGGAAGCAGAGGAAATTTGTGTTCCAGGAAAAGTTGGGAACTTTTTCCTTTTTCTTTTTTTTTTAAATGAGATGGTCTCGTTATGTTGCCCAGACTGGTCTTCAACTCCTGGGCTCACGGGATCCTCCCACCTTTACCTCCCAAAGTGCTGGAATTACAGGCATGAGCCACCATGCCTGGCTTGCTTTTTTCATAGTTTATGCAATATTCTATGTAAATGTTTTAGCTAAATGATTTTATATAAATTATACATTTTTTTTTTTTGAGACAGAGTCTCACTCTGTCGCCAGGCTGGAGTGCAGTGGTGTGATCTCAGCTCACTGCAACCTCCAACTCCCTGATTCAAGAGATTCTCCTTCCTCAGCCTCCTGAGTAGCTGGGATACTTTGTAATCCCAAAGTGCTGGGATTACAGGCATGTGCCACCACGCCCAGCTAATTTTATATTTTTAGTAGAGACTGGGTTTCACCATGTTGGCCAGGATGGTCTCAATCTCCTGACCTCCTAATCCACCTCCCTCAGCCTCCCAAAGTGCTGGGATTACAGGCGTGAGCCACCATGCCCGGCCTAAATTACAACTTGTTAAACCTTAAAGTTAATGAAATCCAAACAAAATTTTGTGGCAAAAAAGGCAGATCCAGAGATTTTAAACATTTTGTGAAGATGACATAGGGATTCTAACTTAAGTGTGGCAGAGATTGCTACTTGTCCACCAGTATCTTTCTTTGCTTCTTCCTCAAATAGAATTGTATGTAGGCAGTTTTATATGCCCAGCAATATTACATTTCCTAATCTCTTTGCAATTTAATTATAGTACATCTCTAAGTTCTCATCAAGAGAATATGGGTTGATATGATCTGGCCATTTCCAGGCCAGTGCCTCTGAAGACCAGAAGAGTAAGAAGAGGAGGCCACACCCCCACTTTTTCCTGTTTTCTTGCCACCTACAGTCTGGAGATGGCAGCAACCCAATTTGATCTTATGAGTAAAGACAACACCATTAAGCGGCAGTCCTCAAAGTGTGATTCAGGGACTCCTAGAGGCTTCACACTCTTTCAGGGTGGTTTTGGTTAATAACAATTTTTAGTAGTAATAGCCTACCACCAATTGCTATTCTGCTTACAAAAAATTATACATGATACTTTAAATAGTATCATAAATATGTATCACATAGAATAATAGAATTTTTAGAATAATATAAAATTATCATTTTAAGTTTATAGCATATACTTAGGAGCAATTGGGTAAGCAAACCTTAAAACTGTCAGAATTGTGCTTCATTTCCTACTGTTAAATTAGTTATATAAGATTATACAGTGGCAACTGCTGTTCTTTTTATCATACTTGTATGTTTTTTATAAATTTGTTTTAGATATGAACTGGAATATCACAGCATCTCAATTTCTTCATTGGGCTGGTCATATGTATTTACTACATGCCAACACAATAATTTGGTTACCTAGCTTTATTTTTCACATATACTAGATCATTCTGTGTGACATATTAAGAGGTAGTTAAGGTTGAAAATAAAAAGATAAATTTCATGGAAAAAAATATAAACATAAGGAACTATACATGCAACCTAAAATCATATTTAAAGTTGAATCTGTTATACTATAAATGGGTAATTTAGATAATTTTTTTAACTCTTCCATAAAATAACACACATACCAAAATTCAGAAATGAGCTGGAGTTATTTGACTGAACAGATTCTGAAGGCTTGTTTGGTGGGCAAGAATTACAGATACCTAGAATCAAAAGAAAAAATATAAGGGAAAGACTAAAGACAGACCCAGATGACAGTTGGGTCAGATCACACATAATTATTAAGAGTAATTAATAATCCCAAATAAACATATCACTGTCAAATGTCAACAAAATATAGGTGCTTACAAATGAGTTGACACTATTACAAATGAGTTGACAAACATTCTCATTTGTCTTTGTGTTTTTTTCTCAAAAGGTGTCTTTTCTTTGCAAACAGAATGTATAGTAAAGCCCAACACTAAAGAAATAAGATCCAATATATCATGAATCAGCTTGAAATTCACATTTTGGCTTTGGACTTCACATTATTTTTTCCTCTGACCACTCTTAGTACATTTTTACATCATTTGTTCTCCACAATATTTCATCCATGAAAAGTCTATGATTTTTTTTATTTAATCCCCTACCCTGGAATCTCTTATTTTCATTCTACTTTCCAGCCTGATTTTTCTCTAATTATAGGTGGTTCTAATACAGGCCCATAACCTGGCATGGTGACTCATGCCTGTAATTTCAGCACTTTGGGAGGCTGAGGCGGGCAGATCACTTGAGGCCAGGAGTTTGAGACCACCCTCACCAAAATGATGAAACCCTGTCTCTACTAAAAATACAAAAAAATTAGCCAGGCGTGGTGTTGCACGTCTGTAATCCCAGCTACTTGGGAGGCTGAGGCACAAGAATTGCTCAAACCTGGGAGGCAGAGGATGTGGTGAGCCCAGATTGCACCACTGCACTCCAGACTGGGTGACAGAGCAAGGTCCTGTCTAAAAAAACATAATAATATTTAATAATTATTATTTAGGCCTATAATCTCCCAAAAGCATTATTATGCTGCTTTGTTTTGCTATTTTAGTTACTCAGAGGTATAAGTTAATCTATAAGTTACTTATAGGTCATATATATACATTGATATATTCATGTATCAGTGTCTGCAGTTTTGAAAACAGTCCCTTAAAAAGTTTGTCCAAATTTTACACATGCTTTATCTTACCAATGGAAAAAGTTAATTTAGGTTTGTATAAACTTTCTAACAAATAGCATATAAGTGGGAAGATACTGGTATTTTTGTTGTTGTTTTCAGCATTTTCAGAATGCACTGTGAGAACTGCATATGTGTGTTTGCACATGTATACCTAATACTAGAATTCTAGAAAAACCTTCACTTTCCAGCAGGTACCTGAGTATGAATTACTGGAATACATACTGAATTTCAATCAGATCCATTTAAAATACATATTTATTTTATACTTATTATATAACTATAGTAAGTATAATTATACTTAATATATTAAATTCTTAATATAAAGTATAAGTATAAAATACTTAATAAAATACTATTCATATTTAAATACTTACTATGTACTAAGGATTGGTCTAGGCACTGAAGATAGAGACGTGAATATAAAGTGAGTAAAGGTGAGGAAGTTCAGGAGTTACCAGTAATCTCTAAACTGCATAGGAGCTGAAAGTTATATATATCCTTCAGAAAGAAAACAACCATCCCAAAGGAGAATATTGGTTTTATATTGGTTTTTCACAGAGGAGGCACAGATTCCATATATATATATTTATTTTTATATATATTCCATATTTATATTTATTTATATATATTCCATATATATTTATATATATATTCCATATATATATTTATATATATCAGAGGAAATTGCTATTTTGTATTTTGGCTCATCATGGATATTTTTATGCTACCTGCCTAACCTTCATTCCCTCTTCTGATAATAGAACTTGACTTTTTCTTTAGGCAACTACTCCTCCACAATTTTCAGTTTCTGTGCTTCCAGTGGAGCTGATTGTACCTTTAGATTAAGGAAATGACCTATAACTAGGGCTGATTTTCCGTTGGTATATTGGCATGGTCACACCAGATGTACAGGTTTGACCTCATTCCTGATTGGACAGTGTCTACATGTAACAAGTGTTGAATATTAGGGTATGACACTATCCTGCCTAATCAGAACATTGACTATACTGGCAATAATTGATTCAAACAAACCAATTTGGGCAAACGAACCAAACCAAGACAGTCAGACCCTGTTAGCACTAGTCATCACAGTGTGGCTTAAAAACCAAGAAATAGTTATTTTTTTCCCCATATAAGCCTGAACTCACATGATAAAAGCCTGCCTATGAATGACCTAATACAGAGTGAGACTAAGCTGAGAAACATTAAATGAGAGATTAGGTTCTGATTACATCATTTGGACCATTGTTACAAGCCAGTATATTCCCCTTTTCTGCTTAAGTCAGCTTAAGTTAGGTTTTCTGTCACTTGCAACCAAAGGATTTCCGAGCAATTAAAGTTTCCCACCAAAAGTTGGTATCAGGCATCACAGTTGACAGCTTCCACTCTTGTCATTCTATAATTCATTCTTTGTATAGCACCTAGCATGATTGTTTTATACTTTTCTGTGGAACATGTTTAAAAATAAATAGAAAACAAAGCATAAAACATCTCTGCATGAAACCCTCTTATGGCTTCCCATTACACTTAGAATAAACTAAACTACTTACCATGCATGACCCATAAGAATCTAACTACTCCTCCCTGATCTTTCCAGCCTTGCCTTACTCCCGTCTCCTCCTTACCTACTCTCTGTAGCTAAGATGGCTTCCTTTTGAATTTCTACAATAAACCAAATTCTTATACTTCAGATATTTTGTTCCCTCTATCTGAAATACTCTTCTCTGGACCCTTTGGCTGGCTGACTGCTCCTTCATGTTTCAGGTTCAATTGTCACTTCCTTTAAAAGGGTTTCTTGGACAACTCATTCTAAAGTGGATTCCCTTTGCTATCCTCTCATAGTTACCCTTTTGTTTTCCTTCATAGCATTAGCATGTGTTATATGTATGTATTTGTTAATTTGTTTAATGTTGGAATTCTTCACCAAACTTAAGTTCCACAAAGGCAGAGCCCATATCTGTTCTGTTCACCATCTTACAGTGAACAGAGTGTAAGTGCCTTACAGAATGCCTGGAACACAGTAAACACTCAACAAATACTCATTGAATGAATAAATGAATGACACTAGGCCTAGATACTAGCTTAAAATAACAGATGAAGAATCCTAATTTCATTAAAAGTAGGACCAGCTTTACAGTTCAGTGGGAGATCCAGGCTACAGGAAGAACACATGGAATTCCACAATCATGAACCATCTGGAAGGGGCTGAGGACACATATGCAGTACAGTCTAAAGCTTCAATTTTGGGGGCCAGGATCAATTTTGAGGGCCAGATGTTCTTCATTTAAGGGCAAAAGACCAGAGGATCAAGGTAACTGAAAAATACAGCACAGCCTAGATCCAGAGAATGAACTGAGAGCTCTTTCTTGGAAATAAGACTTAATCTCCAAAAGTTCTACTGTATCTTAAAAGCTGTGCCAACCTAAATCTACCTGTAGTTTCTGTTTCTTTGCTTGATACTCTAAGCAGGGTTGGAGATGGGGAAAGAAAACTGTTTTCTGAGTTAGGCTGATCAAACCAATCTTTGGTTGACTGTTTAAGTCACTCAGTTCTTTGTACTTGGCTATTTTCTTTCCCCTGTTTCCTACCATAATTTCCTTTGGAAATGTTTGAATTCTCTTTTGACCGTCTGTAGGAGAAAAGGTATATTTTCCAACTATACTTCAGCCATCATAAGTAAGAAATCAGTTCATGTCAGAGATGAGCTATGATGGCAATGGAGCTTTTGCATAGGCAGACAGAATGAAAACCCAAAAGGAAACCTTCTTTCTTACACTATACCTTAAATCAGATTTTCTCAGTGCTTTCTGTCTCTCCCCTATTCAGTGATTAACCAAACGGCTCAAAAAAAATGTTGAAGTATCTCACCATGGTTTTTAAATTTTATATTTGTAAATAAGATTTCTAAGATAATTTCCCAGAGTTTCAGACTCAATGGAATTTATTTTCATTACAATATAATAAAAATAGTAAGCAACAGAATTTTATTGCTAAAACTTGGTAAAAATGGAAATATATCAATGCTTTGCTTATTTCATGAAGTTAACATATTTGTTTGACAATATGCTTTGCTGTGATTGTTTTCAAAAAATACAACTGAGGTGAGACTCCTGGAAATTTTAAATAATACAATTGCATGACAGCATCTTAAGAGGGGTAGAAAGTGCCAAACATTGGCTGGGTGCAGTGGCTTATGCCTATAATCCTAGCACTTTGGGAGTCCGAGGCGGGAGGATCACTTGAGCCCAGGAATTTGAGACTAAGCTGGGCAATATGGTGAAACCCCATCTGTACTATTAAAAATAAATTTTAAAAATAAATTTAAAAAAATTTTTAATGCCAAACATTGTACTAATTATTCTTATGTATTAAACAGAATTCTCCTCGATTAATATTCTCCTGCCCAATATTAGCACTGTGAAGGCTAGCAAAAAAAAAAAAAAAAAAGGCCTAGGGCTGATTGTTCTGATTCATAGGACCCTAGGGAGGCCCTGTTTAGGAATAATATTGTTAATCTTTTCAAAATATTGGTTGGTTATATAAAGAAAAATTACAAAATTGAGAAAACAATATTTTTAAACATAAGTACCAACTTACTCTTTTTCATGTTTCGCAAAATTTTCAAACTCTACAAAAGTGAAGAAAGGGAAAAACGTTAGTTTTTTTCCTGTGAAATTTGAAATACTTTAATCAAGTAGAAATACAGACGTGAGTGAAAGAAATTAATTTCCTTAAAAAAAGCCATGAAAATGTACAGTTATTTTTCCATCTTGCCATTTTTAATTCAGTGCAAAATCTCCAATTGATTTTATCTTGCTATTTATATTCACCCATGCAAGTATCACATTACATATTTTGAAATAATATTATCAGAGGCTGAGCACAGCAGCTCACACCTGTAATCCCAACACTTTGGGATGCTAAGGCAGGAGCACTGTTTGAGCTCAGGAGTTTAGGACCATCTTGGGCAACATAGCAAGACCCCCATCTCTACAAAAAGTGGAAAAAAAAATTAGCTGAGTGTGGTGGCAACTACTGGGGAAGCTGAGACAGGAGGTCTGCTTGATCGCAGGAGTTCAAGGCTGCACCGAGCTGTGATTTCACCACTGTGTTCCAGCCTGGGCGACAGAGTGAGAACATGTCTTTTTAAAAAGATTAATAGATTTTTTTTAAATTATGCTGTCAGACTATTGACAGGGATAGGGGGTGCTGGCAAGGTGGCTCATGCTTGTAATTCTGGCACTTTGGGAGGCTCAGGTAGGAGTTTCCCTCGAGGCCCAGGGTTCAAGACCAGACTGGGCAACATGGTATGACTCTATCTCTACCAAAAATTTTAAAAAGGTAGGCATGATAGTGCAGACCTGTGTTTCCAGCCACTTGGAAGGCTGATGCAGGAGGATCACTTGAGCCCAGGATGTCAAAACTGCAGTCCGCCATATTTATGCCACTACACTCTAGCCTGGGCAACAGAACAAGAACCTGTCTAAAAAAAAAAAAAAAGTAAGGAGGAAGGAAACTCAGCGGGTAGAGGGAATGAAATTCCTACTTCTCTCCTTTATTAGGTCCATTTCAGAATCCCAAATGGCTTCTGAATGTATCCATGATACACAGCCATTTCAATTCTAGCCAAGAATTTTTGCCAGTAATATTTTATATTAAATTTACTAAGGCCTCCTTCCGTACTGTTAGCCGTACTTCCTCTCTCACGTTTATGCTGGAGTCTCTAATTTATCTTTTCAAGGAACCTACCCAAATTTCTTTGCTCCACATTTCTTCAGCATATATGTATGTTTTTAATCTGCTTCATGGCATTTTATTCTGCTTGATAATTTTCATGTTCCTCAAAGATGTTCTACTCCAGCAGATTAACTATACTATTTTCAAGGGCAAATAGTTGTCCTTTATGACATTTCTATTTTCCTAACACCAAACAGAAATGTGCTTTTCTATGGAATAGATATTTAATAAAGTCTTTCTTTGTAACATTTTTAGGGTTTTTTTAATAGATGATTTATTTACAAGTCAGAAAATCTAGTAAAAATGCTCCCACATCCTTGTCTTCAGTCTACTCAGTTTCTAATGCTCCTCCTGGAGATAACCGCTATTAGTTTTTTATCCTCTGTACTTAGTATCCTTCCAGAGTAACTTATGAATATATAAGTAAATACACATATGTATTATATTCCTCTTTTTAAAGTCAATAAATTATATATGAATATATTGAGGAAGTCCTAATACTTTTTTAGCTGCACAGTATTCCATTTGTATGAATATACCATGATTATTTATTTAATTGGTTCCCCTAACAATTAACACTGTTAATTATGTTGTTTCCAGTCATCTGCTCTTATAGATAATGCTGCAGTGAATACTTGGTATACATGTCATTTCATGTGTATGCAAGCATATTTGTAGGATAAATTTCACTTATAGTGAAATTGTTGAGTAGAGGGTATATGCATTTGTAATTTTGATATTGCTAAATTTTCCTTCATAGAAGTTGTAACAGGCTAGGTACAGTGGCTCTCACCTGTAAGCCCAGCACTTTGGGAGGCCAAGGCAGGAGGATCGCTTGAGTTCAGAAATTGGCAACATAGGGAGACCCCCATCTCTAATTTTTAAAAAAAAAATTTTTTTAAAAGAAGTTGTACCGCTTGATATTCTCACCAACAACATTGAGTGTGCTTATTTCCCCATAGCCTCCCTAACAGAGAATATAATCAAACTTTGGGAATTTGCCATTCTGATAGATGAAAAAACAATATGTCACTGTGGTTTTAATTTGTAATTTTTTCATTACGAATGAGATTGAACATATCAGATGTTTAAGGGGCACACATGCTCATTTATTTTCTTCAAACCATGTGATCACATATTTTTGCCCGTTTTTATTTTGCAATTATTTTCTATGAATTTCTTCTTCCTTTTTTTGAGATGGAGTCTCACTTTGTCGCCCAGGCTGGGGAGTGCATTGGCACGACCTTGGCTCACTGCAACCTCTGCCTCCCGGGTTCAAGTGATTCTCCTGCCTCGGCCTCCTGATTGGCTGGGATTACAGGTGCGTGCCACCATGCCCGGCTAATTTATGTATTTTTAGTAGAGACAGGGTTTCACCATGTTGGTCAGGCTGGTCTTGAACTCCTGACCTCAGGTGTTTCACCCACCTTGGCCTTCCAAAGTGCTGGGATTACAGGCATAAGCCACTTTGCCCAGCCTATTTTCTAACAGTTCTTTATATATTAGGGTAACAATCCCTTTGGCTGTGGTGCCAGTTGCAGATTTTTTTTTTCTCAAATTTGTTCTTTGTCTTTTTATTTTTAAGGTGATTGTTTTGCCATCCATAAATTTTCTGTTTTATTTAGCTGAATTTATCTATCTCTTTTCTTCCAGCCCCTGGATTTTGAGTCATAGTAAAGGTCATTCACACTCTCAGGTTATAAAGGACTCTTTCCAGGTTTTTTTGCGTTTGTTTGTTTTTCTGAGACGAAATCTCAGTCTGTCGCCTGGGCTGGGCTGGAGTACAGTGGCTTGATCTCAGCTCACTGCAACCTCTGCCTTTTGGGTTCAAGCAATTCTCCTGCCTCAGCCTCCCAAGTAGCTGGGATTACAGGCACCCACCACTACGGCCAGCTAATTTTTTGTACTTTTAGTAGAGATGGGGTTTCACCATGTTGGCCAGGCTGGTCTCGAACTCCTGACCTCGTGATTCACCTGCCTCGGCCTCCCAAAGTGCTGGGATTACAGGAGTGAGCCACCAAGGCCGGCCTCTTTCCAAGTTTTTTAAGGTCTCTATGGGTTTTTTTTTTTTTTAACATTTAAATCTTTTAGCCATTTAGAGTTTATCCTGGTATAGATGTAAGGAGGATGCCCTGCTTTTTTTTCAGGTAGTTAGCTATTTGATTCAACAATAGTTATTAAACTATCCATCTTTATCCCCTGATTTGAGAGATCACCTTCATTATATACTAAATTTCTACATATATTTGTATCTATTTCAGAACTTTCCCTTTTACTCTCTTGGTATGTGTTTCTTCTTATACACTAATATCATGCCTATATATTTTATTTATTTCTTTATTTTTTGAGATGAGGTCTCACTCTGTAACCCAGGCTGGATTGTAGTGGCGTGATCTCTGCAGCCTCCATCTTCCAGGCACAAGCAATCTTCCCACCTCAGCCTCCTGAGTAGCTGGGACCACAGGCACACACCAACATGCCCAGCTAATTTTTTGTAGTTTGGTAGAGATGGGGTTTTGCCATGTTGCCCAGGTTGGTCTTGAATCCTGAGCTCAAGTGATCCACCTGCCTTGGCCTCCCAAAGGCTAGGATTACAGACATGAGCCACAGTGTCTGGCCTATCATGCCATTTTAATTGAGGCTTTACCATATTTGAATATTTGCTAAGGTGATTCTCTTTCATTGCTTTTCTGTTTATTCATTTTTATTTAAAAATTATTTTAGACATTTATCTATTTTTATTTCTATTTATTTGCAGATTTCTGACTACTTTTGCTTCCCCTACTCCCATATGAACTTTGAAATCAGTTTGTCTAGTTCCAGAAATAAACAAGTTGGTAGTTTCATTGGGCATCTTTTACATTATAAATCAACCTTAGGGAGTAATTGATTCTTTTTTTCTTCATTTAGTTTTAGTTTTAGTTTTTAATTTTTATTTTAGATTCAGGAGTATAGTCCTGGTTTGTTATATAGGTAAACTGCATGTCACAAGGGTTTGCTGTTCAGATAATTTCATCACCCAGGTAATAAGCATAGTACCCAATAGGTGCTTTTTCTGGTCCTCTCTCTCTGACAAATGAATCTTTAAGTTGTATTTTTTTCTTCTTTTTGGTTTCCTTCTATTAATTTTGATTGTTATAATATCAACAATTAGTTTTAGTAAGATATTTAATCTAATTTTCCGTCTTAATGCTGGGGAGGGTGAAACTTGCAGTAAGGGAAACCCCCTGGCGTGTCTCCCAAAACTCGTATCTTCTTTACCTTACTCCTTGTGAAACTTTTTCCAGGAGTCTTCAGTGTCTGTTTTGAGGATGTTGAATTTTCCATGCTGTCAGGACAGCTAGTAGAATATGTTTCTATAGATTGGGCCTGCATACCTTAAGAAAAAAAAAAGGAGAAAAATGTGTTTCATTGCATACCTTCTTAAGCCTTCATGTTACATATAAGAAATTGTTAGCTTGGCTATTTTGACTATATATTATGGGTTTTTAAAAATGTATTATTTATGATTTTTTTTTTTTTTTTTAGAGAAAGTACTACCACTTACAATCTTCATCGGCAAGAATGAAGAAGGACTCTAGAGTTCTTTCTGGGAGAGGAGGTGGGGGAGAAAAACGATCCTGATGTAGTTCTGTGGTAAGAAAGTACACACACACAAAAAAACAGAGAAATCTATGAATTAAAAGTCAAAAGTCAACACCCTTTTTGGCTTTATATAATTTTTTTAATCAATCAATCTTAACCTACAATCACCAAATAAAAAATTATCTGAAAAATGAATGGAGCCTCAGGAACTTTGTTTTTCTACCTTGTTAGCCAATGAGCCTATGATTCATCAGAAATGTATAGCTCACTGCAGAAGTATTTTTCCAAAGACACTGAAACTGAATATAATTAAGCTTCAAGAGCTCACAACCATTTTGCCTGAATGTTGGGGATAGGGGAACATGTTAAATAAAACTATCATGATACAATTAGCCAAGTCCAGAAAGTTAAGCAGTCTTTTAAGACAAATGACCAACTCTCTTCAACAAATCAATGGTGTGAAAAAGTATAGAAAGGAGAATTGTTATATATTTTAAAAGAAAATATAAAGAAAGGAGAACTGTTACCGATTTCAAGACAAATGTAAGAAGACAAACATATAAACCAAATGAAATGTTTAGATTTTGTTTCAATTCAGATTTGAATAAACCAACTGTAAAAAGACATTTTTGAGACAATTAAAAACTGAACAGTCTGGATATTAGTTACTGTTAAGGAATTATTATTAATTTTATTGGTGTGATAATGCTATCATGCTAGGTTTTAAATTTGAAATTTTCCATAAAATGAAGATTTTCAATAATGGACATATTCTCCCATGATGTAAATTTCTTAAAATACAGATGGTATTCTACTGACATAAGCATCTCATTGTACAATGCTGAGTATTATTATTATATTAATTCCTTTTGAAAATGAAAATGTAGTAAAGTACGAGAGGTTCATATGACATTGGTCATTAGGTTTGTTTGGTTCTTCGAGTTTGTCTTATCAATAGTCTTATTTCTCACATGCTGGGTAATACACAAAAGTACAGTACTTATTTCTAGCACCTAATAAAATAACTGGCGTACAACAGACATTTAATAAATACTTAATAACTACTCTGAAGTAGTTCATTATCTCCCAGTTTGCTGTTAGGAGTAGTCTGAAAACTAAAGTTGTTCGTTAACAATCTTCTAGTAAATATCTTGCTAAAATACCATTTCATCTTAATACTCCCCTGACAAAGAACCCACGATGCCTGTTATTTACTGCATTAAATCTAAATTCCTCTGCCTAACTTTGGGTGTATGTGGTAAAATATAAGATTTGCCATTGGTGGCATTTAGCATATTCACAGTACTGTACAAGCATCACCACTATTTAGTTCCAGTACATTGTCATCACCCTAGAAGGAAACTCTGCACCCATTAAGTTGTCACTCCCTATTTTCCTCTTTCCCTTGGCCCCTGGCAGTCACTAATCTGCTTCTGTCTTTATGGATCTGTCCATCCTGGATATTTCATCTGACTAGCTTTTATAAGTCCTTCAGAATCTTGCTCCACATCTTATTTGCCCACATTTAATTTCTATATTTCATAAACTAGAATATCTATTGCATAAAAAAATTACTCAGCTGGGCATGGTGGCTAACACCTGTAATCCCAGCACTTTGGGATGCCAAAGCAGGGAGATCACCTAAGGTCGGGAGTTGGAGACCAGCCTGACCAACATGGAGAAACCCCCATCTCTACTAAAAATACAAAATTAGCTAGGCGTGGTGGGGCATGCCTGTAATCCCAGCTACTTGGGAGGCTGAGGCAAGAGAATTGCTTGAACCCGGGAGGTGGAGGTTGTCGTGAGCCGACACTGCTCCACGGCACTCCAGCCTGATCAACAAGAGCGAAAATCCATCTCAAAAAATAAAATAAATAAAATAAAATAAAAAATAACCTACTCTCCATACACATCATGGTCATTTCTGCCTTTGAGTCACTGTTAGGCTATTCCCTGTTGCTGGTATTCCCTCCTTTTTTCTGTCTATAGAAATTATTTAACGTTCTTTCTTCCTCTCAGCGAAGCTTTTCCAAACCACTCCAGTTATGGCATCCTGTTTTTCCAGATTCCTGGTGATTATAGCTAGTGCCACACAGTTATCACTTAGTGGTTCCATGTGAGTGTTAATTTTATCTACATTTGAATATAAGCATTAAGTAGTACTCTTTTTTATACATCCTGCCTATTCTAACACTGCATAAGGTACACAGAAGTTGCTTAGTAAAATGCTCATTTAATGATTAATAAAAATTATAATTTATAATATTTAAGGAGTATTTATTTGACTAGCACTGGGCTAAACGCTTTATGGCATTATCTTATTTAATCCTCATAAAAGTTATCTAAGGGATTCTATTATTCTCCTTTTAAAAATGAGAAAAGCAGATAGAGAAAGTAGGTAATTTAACCAAGGTTACACATTTTGATAATTCTTCATAGACTGGGGATTTGACTTAAAGCCTATCTGACTCTAAAGCCCATGTTTTTGTTATCATTTTTTGGTAGGGGTTTTGTTTTGTTTTGTTTCATGATGGGGTCTTGCTCTGTCGCCAGGCTGGAGTCCAGTGGTGAGATCTCAGCTCAATGCAACTTCCACCTCCCAGGTTCAACCAATTCTCCTGCCTCAGCCCCCAGAGTAGCTGGGACTACAGGCGCACACCACCATGCCCAGCTAATTTTTGTATTTTTAGTAGAGATGGGTTTTCACCATGTTAGCCAGGATGGTCTCCATCTCTTAAACTTGTGATCTGCCCACCTTGGTCTCCCAAAGTGCTAGGATTATAGGCATGACCCACCGCACCCAGCCTGTTACCATGTTTTTTAGAGACATCATCTTGCTCTGTCATCCAGGCTGGGTGCAGTGGTGTTATCATAACTCACTGCAGCCTCGAACTCCTGGCAAAGTCCATGTTTTTTAGCCTTTATGTTATGTTTATGTGTTTGAATAATATGATAATATGAATAAATATGTTAAGGGCAAATACCACCTGTGATAACATAAACAAAGTTTACATTACCAAATTAATTTCTTCTTCAATGCATAAAAGGCAAAGCTCAGGAAAGTACTGGAGAGGCAACAGCAAATTAAAGAAATACATGGCCAGAAATAATTTTTTGAATCACACTGTTAACAGTAGAAACATCCATATAATGGAAATGCTGCAAAATTTTAAAAGCTTCTCTCTGAAATAGTTTTTAAATGGTTATATATTAAGGAGCAGAATTCTAAAATCCTGTCTTCACCTTGCTTTTAACAAAATTTCTACTCTGGGAAAACCAGAAATAAATACTGAAAACCAATCAATAAATACTGGAAACTATTATGGGAACCAAGTAACTTCATGAGGTGAATTACTCTAAACTTAATGAACCTTTCTTAGAATCTTAGAGCTAAATGTCATCTAAAGCCAAGAGAAATTTTTACCTGATTTAGGACTTCGAAAATTTACACTCTAAAAGAAAAAAAGAAAGGAAAAGTGAAAGAAGAATATGTACACAAATTATACAAATTCAAAGCAAAAATGGCATCTTTGAAATTATATTTCGGATAGTTTTGAAATATAGACCGTTTTTCCTAATTTGTAAGTGTGCTGAATTATGAAATAGCATCCTTCCCTCTTACAGTGATTTTTATATACCATGGCAATTAGTCCTAAATTGATCCCCTTCTGACTTATTTCTGTCCCACCTAAAACATTTCCATGGCCAGGTGCGGTGGCTTACGCCTGTAATCCCAGTAGTTTGGGAGGCCGAGGTGGGTGGATCACAAGGTCAAGAGATCGAGACCATCCTGGCCAACATGGTGTAACCCCATCTCTACGAAAAACACAAAAATTAGCTGGGTGTGGTGGTGCGCATCTGTAGTCCCAGCTGCTTGGAAGGCTGAGGCAAGAGAATCGCTCGAACCTGGGAGGCAGGGGTTGCAGTGAACCAAGATCGCACCACTGCACTCCAGCCTGATGACAGAGCAAGACTATCTAAAAAAAAAAAAAAAAAAAAATTCCCTGAAAATTTAGAGGTAAGTTGCAGAAATTGAAGTTGCTTCATAACATTGGAAAGAGTGATTGTTATTTCCTCTGGGAGTTGTTACGATAAATATGTGTGCTTATTATTAATGACAATAATAATGATTACTAGTATGTTAGAATTATAATTTAAAAGGCAGATAATATTTGCCTATCAGCTTTGCAATTGTATGTTCTTGAAAATGTTTAATTATTTTTCTGATCTCTCAAATTTTAAGAGAATTGGTTCACAGAATACATAGAAATGTATAACATTTTTAGATACACTTTCCTCCAGAAGCAGGACACACTATTCTAAAAGGTCATTCTCTGTAACATATTATCACAGCTCACATGATACAGCCTACCAAATGACTACGGTGAACAAGTTTCCTACTTACGTATGAAACATTTATTTTTGCCTTAACTATCCTTCAAAATCAGCTCAGATGTTTCCTCTAGCACTAAACCTTCCTTCATCACTTCCAACCTGGAGGCATCTCCCACACTTGAAATTCTTTATCTTTCATATGACATCGATCATATTGGCCTTGCTATAGTAAATATAGGCAAAAATAAAGATGTGTACACATCCTATATCTCTACTACTAGACAAGAAGCTTCTTAAAGGCAAGAATTGTGTCTTACACATCTTTTTTTATCCCAACATCCTCTAGCACATTGTTTTATATGTAGTATGTGCTTAGGATTTATGGAATGATGGGTATTAAAAATATAAGGAGTAGATCTGTAGTCTACTGAATCTAAATGAACAGAGCCATAAAAAAATAGACCTTGCTTTGTCTAAGTCTCACAGAGTCATCAAATTTCTTTGGTCCAGATGTTCCACCCCATTCCAGTGATGTTCCAATTTTTACCTTCACAGCCGAGGATAAGGATTTGGGAACATTTGGTGAGAATTCTCCTGGAAGAAAGTGAATGTGGTTCAGTTCTTAGGAGTAGTCTTCTTTTAGAAATCAAATGTTGCTCAGCAAATAGTACATAAAGCATTGAAAGGACCTGAGAAGAAATCTTGTTAATTCATACTTTATTTTATTTTTTGAGACAAGGTCTCACTCTATCACCCAGACTGGCGTGCAGTGGCACAATCATGGCTCACTGCAGCCCCCAACTCCTGGGCTCAAGTGATCCTCTCACCTCCACTTCCCAAGTAGTTGGGACTACATGTGCATGCTGCCATTGCTCTGCTAAATTAAAAAAAAAGAACGTGTTTTTAGAGATGAGATCTCACCATGTAGCCCAGGCTAGTCTTGAACTCCTGGCCTCAATGAACTCCTTGAACTCAAGGCTCCCACATCAGCCTCCCAGAGTGCTGGAATTAAAGGCATGAGCCACCATGTCCGACCCACACTTTATTTTATACTTACTGAACTGTACTCACCAGCTTCCTCAACCACAATAAACGATTCAGGTGTCCGTACAGGAAGTGGAGGGGGGATTTCATCATCTATCCTTGGAGCAGTTGCTATCCAAAATGTCAGAAATATGGTAACAATTGTTAATTAGAACAATCCGAAGGAAATTTTTATATTCTAATATTAATATAAATTTACCGTAATTTATATTTAAATTCCATTGAACCACCATTATTAGTAAGTTGGCACTTGTTCATTCAAGGAAAGAGCAAAATAAATTCTCTTAAGGTACAAACTCAGGAGGTTTTTGCTTATTCTTTAAAAGTTATTGTTTGTTTTAAAAGCTCAAAGATATTTTGATTGAGTCACAGGGTGTCAGTTAACATAAAACATTAATTTTGGAAGCTTTGAATAATCTTTTACATAACTCCTTTTGTTTTACATAGACTATACAATAAAGCATTATAAAGTGCTTTGACATGTCAAAGGTTCAGTTATACATTAATTAAAACATAAAAATTTTAGCATTTCTTCAGTATATACAAAATCTGAGAATATGGGCATTTTTCTGTTTTACAAAACAATAGTATAGGATTGTTTTCTGTATTTCTATACATTGAGAGTTTTTATTAAACATTTTAAATGCTATTATAAGAAACTGCCACCAGATGGCACATGATGATATTTTTATAATCCCTTGAAAATAAGGATTTGTTTAATGCTGCAGATGCTCAGAGAAGTCTAAGGTATTTTGAGTATCTAGGAAAAGAAAATACATTTAAATGTTTAAAAATGTATAAAATAATCTAATCACAGAAGGACCTTCTTAGATCCAGATAAAACATTTTTGCAACAAAGTTATAAATGATCTACACATCTATTTATTAAGAAAATCTACAATAAATAATGTTATAGAGCAAAAGTTTTCTCCACCTCCTATCTATGTAGAATGCACTTTATAAATTATTTGATGATATATGTAAGGAGTTAAACTTGTTCTTTGCTTTCCCTCATTATCTTCCACATCAAATTATTGTAATCATCACAGGATGCTCATTTCTACTTTCCAACTAATCAGTAAAGCAGAACAATATGCATTATATACAAAAATACAGAATTATAAAAGAGATAAAACATGAAAGTAAAGGCATACATAAGATAGAATTTTTCACAAAATACTAAACATGTATTCTCATCTACAAAATTATTACAAAAGGGCAAGAAATCAGGTTGTCCTCTTCCAACTCCTAAGGAAAAGAATTCAATTTTTAGCAATATGTTCAACTCATTATAGCCACATAATTGTGTAACAAAAATTCTGGGTGGCCATGTGGTGCTATTGATCAAATTTTTTTCTGCTCTTCTTTTGCAAGCTGGTTCTATGTATTAGGAGTAAATTCTGAAGCTACAGGCGGTGGCTTGCACCTGTAATCCCAGCACTTTGGGAGGCCAAGGTGGGAGGATTGCTTGAAGCCAGATATTCAAGAACAGCCTGGGCAAGATAGCAGACCCAATTTCTGAAAAAAGAAAAATTAGCCTGGCATGGTGGCATGTTCCTGTGGTCCCAGCTACTCGGGAGGCTGAGGTGGGAGGATCGCTTGAGCCCAGGACATCAAGGCTGCAATGAGCAATGTTCATACCACTGCACTCAAGCCTGGGCAACATAGTGAGATTCCGTTTCAAAAAATATTTTTGAAAAACAGTAAATTGTGGGACTTTCATATACATTTCTAGGAATGGGGCTTGCCTTCTTGAGATGTACTCCTGTTGGTACAGATCCTGTACCAGATCTTGATTGCCTCCATTGCTGCCTGTTTCAAGGAAAATTACATGTTTGATGTTGCTATTTTCAACTTAGAACATCATTAAAACACTACTGGAATTTATTTATATGAGGAATAGCAGGAAGAAGAAAGGGAAGCAGAGGAGAAGAGGGAAAACGAAAAGAAACATTTCTATAGAAACGAAGTGAAACCTAAAACTCTATACAAACTTTAAAAAATAACTTACCTACTACAGCTGACTCTTGGTTCAGTAGTGGGGGAATATTGGTTGGAGAATTCAATGACAAAGAATCATGTGAATTGCAACAAGAAAAGAGGGATGTAGAGGATGTTGGTAACAAAGAACAGGGCGAAACAGTTCCGTCTTGCTTCTCAGGTAAATCAAGAGACATCTTAGAACCAGTACCACTTGGAGGCAATGTTGAAAAATAAGGATCTTCCGCTAAAGATATATAAGAATATACACCAAGAGCACTAGAGTCACAGTGCTTTACATTAGAGGTGTTACATATTTGGTGCTTAGATTCATACGGCAGTGAATAATTCAGTTCTGCTGAAGAAACGTGCATTACTTTTTGAGCCTGCATCTTTACAAAACAAGAATCCTGTGGTTGAGATTCCAAATAAGAAAAGTTTTCCTTGCTGTCCACCTCCTTGGTTTCTCTCTGCTGTATCAATTCAAAAGGAGTTGATTTGGTCCGTGTTATTGGCACCTTTGAATTAAAATATCTTCCTGCTGCATTTACAGGTTTAGAACTAGAACATGCTTCAAACAAAATAGAGCCCAAATCTAAACTTTGATGCTTCTGAAGAGGTTCCCCAACCGGTGGAAATGCCTTTGCCTGCCATTTCATGGCTGTGTCAGCATTTTTGTTGAAACCATAATTTAGCTCCAGAAAGTCAAAAGAAGTGCTTGATTTAGTAGGGTGCAAAACTAGCTCTTCCTCTGCACTTTTTTCAGAAGTCCTAAAGTCAAAGGAAGAAGATTCTGTGCTTTCCTGTTCTGTCCTTTGTTTGCTCTGTTGTTCTATCATTTTTGCTGCCTTTATGGTACTAAAACAAAAAGAAAGCATAATGATGATACCATACCCCAAACAGACCTCTTCCTAGCATCACAATGATGTATAAGTATGAGATTCATCTCCCTGACACAGTTAGTCAACGTTTAGGTATATAAAATTGTACTCACCTTTTTGGTAAATTAGGAGAATAAGAGTCTGCTTGGAGAGTGTGATTTTGCTCAGGAATAGAATACTTTGCTTGACTCTTTAAAAGAAATAAGTCAGAGGCTGGTTTTTAGTGAAGCAATGTCAATGAGATATTTTAATATTTAGAAGGCTGAAAAGTAATTTTTCAGGAAATATAAATATTTAAAATAATTCATGAAAGGGTTAGATTAGCTTCCAAAATATTGAACTCAGCAAGAACTTGTTCATATACTGAGATGACCAGAATAAAGGATTAATAGTGTTACAGAAACTAGAAAGGATTTGCGTATATCATCATCTTTTCAAATGTGGGAGTTTTTAAAATGTTCTTTAGTGGGTAATTTCAGTCTCAAAAACACTCTTCCTTTAGAAATCTCAGCGTCTCAGCCCTTTGTAGGTACTTAACAGGTCTCCAGACCTATTTCATCTTGTTCTACCCTTTTCCTTCTCACTATGCTCCAGGTATACTGGTTTTCTTGCCATTACTTAGTATGCCAAACTTATTTCCAAGTCAAGGCTTTTATACTATTTTCCCTGATTAATACATTTTTGCTCCAAATTTTCCATGCCTAGCTTCTTCTAAGTAGTTAGATCTCTGCTTAACCGTCATCCGCATAAGGAAACCTTCTCTGATCACCCAACCTAAAATCACACTTCTGCCCCTATCCAGCCGCACTCAATCTTCCTTTTTAAGAGACAGGGCCTCTCTATATTGCCCAGTCTGGCCTCAAACTCCTGGGCGCAAGCAGTCCTTCTGCCTCAAGCTCCCAAGTAGCTTGGACACTATAGGTGTATACCACAGTGCTTGGCTTCAATCTTTTCTTAAAATTAAGACAGGTTCTTGTTCTGTTGTCCAGGCTAGAGTGCAGTGGCACAAGCATGGCTCACTGCAACCTTGCTCTCCTGGGTTCAAGTGCTGTTTTCACCTCAGCCTCCCAACCTTTATTTTTATTTTTGAGACAAAGTCTCTATTGCCAAGCTGGAGTGCAGTGGTGTGATCTTGGCTCACTGCAATCTTCACCTTCCAGGTTCAAGCGATTCTCCTGCCTCAGCCTCCTGAGCAGCTGGGACTACAGGCACATGCCACCACACCTAGCTAATTTTTGTATTTTTAGTAGAGACGGAGTTTTGCCATGATGGCCAGGATGGTCTCAATCTCTTGACCTAGTGATCCTCTTGCCTAGGCCTCCCAAAGTTTTGAGATTACAGGCGTAAGCCACTGTACCCAGCCCAATCTTTATTTTTTTTATAGTAATTATCATATTATGAAATTTGTTACTGTGGTTCATAGAATCTTAAGATACTATTGGTTATAAAATATATCTTCATTTCAGAGATGTTAAAATCCATTTTGAACATCTCAATTGATGCAGAAAAAGCATTTGATAAAATTCATGTTGAAATCACTTAACAAAATAGGAATATAAGGAAATGTTCTCAACATAATAGAGGCCATATATAAAACCCATAACTAACATTATATTTAATGGTGAAAGACTAAAAGCTTTTCCCCTAAGATCAGGAAGAAGACAAGATTGCCAACTTTTGCCGCTTCTGTTCAACATAGTACTAAAGTTCTACCCAAAGTAATTTTTTAAAGTAATTTTTTTCTTAGGTAAGGAAAAAAAGGCATCCAAATTGGAAAAAAAAAAAGGCTGGGCAAGGTGGCTCATGCCTGTAATCCCAGCACTTTAAGAGGCTGAGGCAAGTGGATCCCTTGAGGTCAGGAGTTCGAAACCAGCCTGGCCAACATAGTGAAAGCCTGTGTCTACTAAAAATACAAAAATTAGCTGGGCATGGTGATGCGCACCTGTAATCCCAGCTACTCGGGAGGCTGACGCAGGAGAATTGTTTGCTCTCAGGAGGCAAATGTTGAAGTGAGCCAAGATCGTGCCACTGCACTCCAGCCTGGGTGACAGAATGAGACTCCATCTCAAAAAAAAAAGAAGTAAAATTATCTGTATTCTCAGATGACATGATCTTATATATGCGATTCCACAAAAAAATCTGCTAGAGCTTATAAACAAATTCAACAAAGTTGCAGGATCAAATAAAATGAACACACAAAACAAGTTGCACTTCTATATGTTAGCAATGAAAAAATTGAACATTAAGGAAACAGTACTACTTATAATGGCATCACAAAGCATAAAATACTTAAGAATAGATTTAACCAAGGAGGCAAAAAACTTGTATACTGCAAACTATAAAGCCTTGCTGAAAGAAATTAAACAAGACATAAATAGACATTCTCTGTTCAAGGAGTGGAAGATTTATTACTGTTAACATAGCATACTACTCAAAGTGATCTATAGGTACAGTGCAATTCTAATCAAAAGCCCAATGGCATTTTTACATAATTTGTTTAAAAAACAGACTAAAATGTATGCAATCTCAAGGGACACTGAATAGTCAAACCAATCTTGAAAAAGAAGAACAAAGTTGGATGACACACTACCTGATTTCAAAAATTGTTACAGAGCTGCAGTACTCAAAACAATGTGGTACTGGCATAATATAGACTAAAGATCAATGGAATAGAATACAGAGCCTAGAAAAAACATTCACATATAGTGAGCAATTGATTTTTGACAAAGGTGCCAAAAACATTCACTGGAGAAAGGGGAATGTTTTCAACAATTGGTTCTGGGAAAAACTGAATATCCACATACAAAAGAATGAAGTTGGGGCCAGGCTAGGTGGCTCACACTTGTAATCCCAGCACTTTGGGAGGCCGAGGCAGGTAGATCATCTGAGGTCAGGAGTTGGAGACCAGCCTGACTAACATGGAGAAACCCAGTCTTTACTAAAACTACAAAATTATCCGGGCATGATGGCGCATGCCTGTAATCCCAGCTACTCTGGAGGCTGAGGCAGAAGAATCACTTCAACCCGGTAGGCAGAGGTTGCAGTGAGCCAAGATTGTGCCATTGCACTCCAGCCTGGGCAACAAGAGTGAAACACCGTCTCAGAAAAAAAAAATGAAGTTGAAATAAACAAACAATAAATAAAGAAATAAAAATGAAGCTGGACTTTTATCTCATGGCACATACAGAAATTAACTCAAAAATTGATCAAATACCTAAACATAAGAGGTAAAATATAAAAGTCTTATAAGAAAATGGGCAGGCTTTATGACATTGAATTGGATTTGGTAACGATCTCTTGGATAGGACACGAAAGGCACAAACAACAAAATAAAAATAGGAAAACTGGTCTTCATTGAGGTTTAAAACTTTTACACACCAAAGGACACAACAGAGTAAAAAGGCAACCCACTGAATGAACGGCAGACATTTGCAAATCACATATCTGATAAGGGATCAATATCCAGAATATGTAGAGAACTAAAACTCAACAACACGTAAACAACTCAATTTTTTTTTTTTTTTTTTTTGACACAGAGTATCGCTCTGTCACCCAGGCTAGAGTTTAGTGGTGGGATCTCAGCTCATTGCAACCTCTGCCTGCTGGGTTCCAGCAATCCTCCTGCCTCAGCCTCCCAAGTAGCTGAGATTACAGGCACACGCCACCACACCCAGCTAATTTTTGTCTTTTTAGGAGAGATGGGGTTTCACCATGTTGGCCAGGCTGATCTTGAACTCCTGACCTCAGGTGATCTGCCCACCTCGGCCTCCCAAAGTGCTAGAATTACAGGCATAAGCCACCTCATCCAGCCTCAATTTAAAAATGAGCAAAAGCTGGGCACAGTGGCTCATGCTTGTAGTCCCAGCCAGTGGGGAGTTTGAGGTGGGAGGATTTCTTGAGGCCAGCAGTTCAAGACTAGCCTGGGCAACATAATGAGACCCTGTATCTAAAAAAAAGTTTCTAAAAAAATTAGCTTGGTGTGGTAGTGCGTACTTATAGTTCTAGCTACTCAGGAGCTGAGGTGGGAGGATCACTTAAGGCCCAGCAGTTTGAGGCTGCAGTGAACCATGATGATGCCACTGGACTTCAGTGTGGATGACAGAGCAAGATCCTGACTAAAGAAAAAAGGGGCATTGGCCGGGTACAGTGGCTCATGCCTGTAATCCTAGCACCTTGGGAGGCCGAGGCAGGCTGATCACCTGAGGTCAGGAGTTCGAGACCAGCCTGACCAACATGGAGAAATCCTTTCTTTACTAAAAATACAAAAAATTAGCCAGGCATGGGGGTACATGCCTGTAATCCCAGCTACTTCGGAGGCTGAGGCAGGATAATTGCTTGCACCCAGGAGGTGAAGGTTAAGGTGAGCCAAGATGGTGCCATTGCACTCCAGTCTGGGCAGCAAGAGCAAAACTCCGTCTCAAAAAAAGGGGGAAAATGGGTGGTGAGTGGGGGAGAGCAAAGGACTTGAAGACACATTTTTCCAAAGAGGATATACAAATGGCCAACAAGACCACAGAGAGGTGTTTAATCATTATGAAAATATAAATTAAAATCACAATGAGATGCCACTTTCCACCTAATTAGGATGGCTACCATCAAAAAAACAGAAAATAAAAAGTGTTGACTGGGATATAGAGAAACTGGAACCCTTGTGTGCTGTTGGTGGGAATGTAAACTGGCACAGATGCTATGGAAAACAGTATGGCTGTTCTAAAAAAATAACAAACTAAACATAGAATTACCACATGTAATTCCACCTCTGGGTTATACCCAAAGTAATTAAAAGCAAGGATACAAAGAGATATTTGTACACCCGTGGCCATTACAGCATTACAACAACCAGAAGGTAGAAGGAACTTGAGTACCCACTGATGGATGAATGGATAAACAAAGTGTGTGTGTGTGTGTGTGTGTGTGTGTGTGTAAACATATACAATGGAATATTATTCAGCCTTAATGGGTAAGAAAATCCTGACACATATTACAACATGAATGAACCTTGAGGACATTAAGCTAAGTGAAATAAGCCAGACACAAAAGGACAAATATTTTATAATTCCACCTATATCAGGTACCTAGAGTAGTCAGATTCATAGAGAAGAAAGTAAAATGATCATTGCCAGGGGCCAGTGGGAGAGGAGAATGGGCAGTTATTGTCTAATAGATACAGAGTGTCTGTTTAGAATAATGAAAGTTCCAGAAATAGTGATCATAACTGAACATTGTAAATGTACTTAATGCCACTGTATTATACACTTAAAATGGCTAAAATAGTAAATTTAAATAATATATTGTACCACAAACAGTATCTCTTCCTCTTCTATTTCCTGGTATAGACTGTACGAAATTCGTGTTAATTCTTCCTTAACCATTTGATAGAATTCTCTGGTGAAACTGTGTGGGCCTGGAGATTTCTTTTTTTTGGAGTTTTAAAATTACAAATTCAGTTTTTCTAATCACTAAGTGGCTATTCAGATTATCTGTGTCATGCTGAATGAATTGTGGTAGATTACATTTGAGAAAATAATCCATTCTGGGCTGGGTACGGTGACTCATGCCTGTAATCCTAGCATCTTGGGGGGCCAAAGCAGGAGGATCCCCTGAACCCAGGAGTTCAAGACCAGCCTGGGCAACATAGGGAGACCCTGTCTCTATAAAAAAGAAAAATGAAAATAATGAAAAAGAAAATAATCCATTTTAGCTAAGTTGCAAATTTACATGCGTAGAGATGTTCATACTGTTCCTTTATTACCATTTTGATATCCACAGGACCTGTAACAATAGCTCCTATTTCATTCCTGATATCGTAATTTTTATTTTCTCCCTTTTTCTGTCAGTTTTTTTTAAAAGGTTTGTCAATTTCATTGATCTTGTTAAAGAACCAATTTTCTGATCTTTAAAATAAAAACCAGGCTGGGCGCCCTGGCTCATGCCTGTAATCCCAGCACTTTGGGAGGCCAAGGCAGGCAGATTACTTGAGTTCAGGAGTTCAAGACCAGCCTGGCCAACATGGTGAAACCCCATCTCTACAAAAATGCAAAAATTAGCCGGGCATGGTGGCACATAGTCCCAGCTACTTGGGAGGCTGAGGCAGGAGAATCGCTTGAATCTGGGAGGTGGAGGTTGCAGTAAGCCAAGATCATGCCACTGCTCTCCAGACTGGGTGACAGAGTGAGACTCTGTTTCAAAAACAAACAAACAAACAAAAAACCCAAACCAATTCTGATTTTCTCTATTATTTTTTTCTAATTTCATTGATTTCTGCTCTTTATTTCTTTTTCTATATTCTTGGAGTAAGACTTTAGATTATTGAGACCTTTACTGTTTTCTAATGTATGGACTCAGTGCCCTCTCAGTACTGCTATAGCTTCTGTCTCATAAATTTTGATATGTTGTATTTCCATTTTTCTTTAATTCAGTGTGTTTTTTTGTTTTCTTTGAAACTTCCTTTTGACCCAATGGATTATTTAGACGAGTGTAGTTTGATTTCCAAGTATTCGGATACTTGTCTGTTACCTTTCTCTCACTGATTTTTTTCCTTTTTAAATTATTATTATTATTATTATTATTATTACTATTGAGACAAGGTCTCGCTCTGTCACCTAGGCTGGAATACAGTGGCACAGTCACAGTTTACAGTAGCCTCGGCCTCCCAGGATCAAGCAATACTTCCACCTCAGCCCCGAGTAGCTGGGACTATAGGCACATGCCATCACACCTGGCTGAGTTTTTAATTTTTTGTGGAGACGAGGGTCCCCCTGTATTACCCAGAATGGTCTTGCACTCCTGGCCTCAAGGAATCCTCCCACCTTGGCCCCTCAAAGTGCTGGAATTACAGGCATGAGCCACCATGCCTGGTCTGTGTTACTGATTTCTAATTTGATTCCATTGTAGTCAGAAAATATATTCTATATAATTTCAGTTTTGTTTTTTTTTTTTTTGAGACGGTCTCACTCTATCAGCCAGGCTGGCATTCAGTGACTCCATCTTGGCTCACTGAAACCTCCGCCTCCCAGGTTCAAGCAATTCTCCTCCCTAGGCCTCCCAAGTAACTGAGATTACAGGTGCCCACTACCATACCTGGCTAATTTTTGTATATTTAATAGACAGGTTTTGCCAGGCTGGCCAGGTGGTCTCAAATTTCTGACCTCATGTGATCCGCTCGCCTTGTGTGGGAATGCTCCCATGTGAGACCCCCAAGCAGTGGGTCACACCACATGGTTGAGCTTGATCCCAGACACAGGCCCCCTGTTGGAGGTAGTCGAGCTATGGGAAAGAAGGACTGCAAGAAGGCTTATGTGATATACAAAAAATAACATGAGTTATTACTCTATTGTGCTGAGGTGATGGGAGGCACAGTGTCCACTTTTGGTTCTCACAGTGTCCACTTTTGTTTCTCTATTCATTATAGTTTCTTCTTAAAGTTATGACTTGAATCTTCAAAGCAAGCTGATAGTAAAAATTGCTTTGTTTATGTCTTTCCTGCACCTGGACCCTTGATATGGTATTTACAATACTGCTTGTGACTTAATGATTTATAATGTAGCCTGTGATTTTCTTGCAAAACTCCTGCCCTAGATAAATAGTTTCTTTTAAACTTTTAAACTTAGATATTGCACCTGGACTCTTGTGACTGATAATTGCACCCCCCGCTTTAACCTGATTATGTATCTCCCTGTTCCCAGCATATTTATCCAAAATATGGTGACTTGTGATTGTATTGTAAAACTTTCTGTTCCCACGAAACACTGATCCCATGACGTACACACTTCTACTTGTAATATATATAATCAGACCCTGAGTTCAATAAAGCTGTTGGTGAAGCATCTGACTTCTCAACCCTCCAGACCCCGTCTGTTCTTTCTTCTCCTCTTCCGTGCACCCCCCTCTCCAGGTTGAGACCCTCTTGCTGGCCAAGAGCCCCCCGGCAGATGTGCCGGCCTCCACAGCCTTGGCTTCCCAAAGTGCTGGGATTACAGGTGTGAGCCACTGCTCCCAGCCTAATTTCAATTTAAAAATTTTTTCAAGTTTGTTTTATGGCTCAGGATATACTCTATCTTGACATATATTTTCCATGAGCACTTTAAAAGCAGGTGTATTCCTGGCCAAGCACTCACTCCTGTAATCCCAGCTCTTTGGGAGACCAAAGTAGTTCACTCCTGTAATCCCAGCACTTTGGGAGACCAGGGCAGGCACATCACAAGGTCAGGAGTTCAAGACTAGCCTGGCCAATATGATGAAACCCCCGTTTCTACTAAAAATACAAAAATTAGCCAGGCATGGTGGCATGCACCTGTAGTCCCAGCTACTTGGGAGGCTAAGGCAGAAGAATCGCTTGAATCCGGGAGATGGAGGTTGCAGTGAGCCTAGATCATGTCACTGTACTTCAGCCTGGGTGACAGAGTGAGACTCTGTCTCAAAAAAAAAAAAATGTGTATCCCTATGTTATTAGGTACAGTGTTCTATAAATGTCAATTCGATTTTGTCTAATTCTATCAAAATTGTTGAAAGAAGAATATTGAAGTCTCTGGCTATGGCTGTGAATGATCTGTTTCTCTCCTTTAAGTTCTTCACGTATTTTGCAACTTCATTGTTTGGTCCATGTACATTTAGGACTGTTATATCTCACTGGCAGATTGACCCTTTTATCATTATATGATGTCTTTCCCTACCTCTGATAATTGTCCTTTCTCTGAAGTCTACTTTATCTGATATTAATATAGCCATGCCTGCTTTCCTTTGATTCATGTTAACATGATATATTTTTTTCTATTTCTTTGTTTTTAGCCCGCTTATATATTTGAAGTGAGTTTCTCATAGACAACATATAGTTGAATTGTTTTTTAATTATCTATGCCAGGGCCGGGCACAGTGGCTCACGCCTGTAATCCTAGCACTTTGGGAGGCCGAGGTGGGTGGATCACCTGAGGTCAGGAGTTCAAGACCAGCCTGGTCATTATGGTGAAACCCCATCTTTTAAAAAAAAAAAAAAGAAAGAAAGAAAAGAAATAATTATCTATGCCAATCTGGTAATTCACTCTACCACCAGTAAATATTGGTGTATTTAGGATTATATGTTTAATGTAATCATTGATATAGTCAAATTTCATTCTATTTTTTTTGTTTCTTATTGCTCTTTTCTTTTTTCTGACATTCTCTCTTTCCTGTATTTTTTTAAATTCCATTTTTCTTTACCTATACTGTGTTTTCTTATATCTCTTTGTATAGCCTTTTTTTTAGTCATAGCTCTAGATATAGATATAGATATACGGTATCACACTCTACTAGCTGGAGTACAATGGTACAATCTTGGCTCACTGCAACCTCCACTTCCCGGGTTCAAGCGATTCTGCTGCCTCAGCCTCCTGGGTAGCTGGAATTACAAGCACCCACCACCACACCTGGCTTATTTTTATATTTTTAGTAGAGATGGGGTTTCACCATGTTGACCAAGGTGGTCTTGAACTCCTGACCTCAGGTGATCTGCCCACCTCAGCCTCCCAAAGTGCTGGGATTACAGGCATGAACCACCCTGCTTGGCCATTTTTTTAAAATTTTTTTTGTAGAGACAATTACTATATTGCCGAGGCTGGTCTCAAACTCCTAGGCTCAAGCAATCCTCCCACCTTGGTCTTCCAAAGTGCTGGGATTACAGGCATGAACCACCACACCCAGCCAAGAGATTATCTTTAAATTTTTATTTCTCTTTGAGACAAGGTCTCGCTTTGTTGCCCAGGCTGGAGTGCGGTGGTGCCATTTCAGCACACTGCAACTCCCTCTCACAGGGTCAAGCAATCCTCCTGCCTTAGCCTCCGGAGTAGCTGCAACTACAGGCACGCACCACCACTGCCAGCTAATTTTTTTGAGTGTGTGTTTGTGGAAATGGGGTTTCACTATTTTGGCCAGGCTGGTCTTAAACTCCTGACCTCAGGTGATCCACCCACCTCGGCCTCCCAAAGTGCTAGGATTACAGGCTCCAGCTACCAGGCCTAGAGATTAATTTTTTAAGTTAAATTACGTCAAATTAACTTGTCCTTTTCCACAGGAAATATTCAGTGCACCCGTATGCACACCTAACACTCTCAATTTAGTAGGAACAAAAGATAAATCCTGCAACTAATCTAACATCCCTTGACCAAAAGCAAGTATGAAAAGTTTTTTGACATATCTAGTTTAAACATTACCTCTGTTCCAGAATGTTTATTGCTGATAACATCCATCTGTCTCTTAAATAGTTCTAATACAGCATTGTAGACCAATTCATATTGTTCCTGAAGAGCATCACAACCCAAAACAAATGAAAACAAAAACAAAAAAATGGTGAACTCCAGTATCAGATTTTAGAAATATAAACACCAATCAAATCCTAATATAGCAGACCCAAAAGTACCATCAGCATGTTATTAAACTTAATAATAATGCCTTATGCTTGTGTAGCCCACTTCAGATTTCAAAGCACTTTTATGCTGCTAAAAATAGCTAAATATTTGATATGCCTCTAACTAATGTTCAAGAATCCCAGGACTTGTTTCTTATATGTTCTAACCCTACGTCCTTATCTTTTTCTCCACCATCATTCCTCTGTTTTCCTTGCTCACATAAAAAAAATTTATTTCATTCTAGATGGATTTTTGTAAGCCACCTTCATCTTTTCTGGAAAAAGAGATAGTGGTTGGTGTGTCTATAGATAACTTCAATATCTATGCTTTAATTTGGTCCTCATAACTGCTCAATAAGTAGATAGGCAATTATACCTATTTACAGACAGTTTATCCAAGGTCATTCAGAAGGAATTTCCAGGACTTGGCTTAGAAATTTAACCTCCACACTCTTAGTTCAGTGCATTTAGATAAAGTTGCTAACATTTCATTCTATTAAAGATACCAAAGAAAAGTAAAGCACTGAATAAGGTTTGGAAATTTGTGGTTACAAAAGGATTTCACCATAGAGAAATTAGACCTCTGATATTATAAGGTTTATGAGTTATTACTACTCTGTTTTTGCCTCTCCCTGCTCGAGCACTTGATTTTGGACCTACTTTTTATCTGGATGCTTTTTCCCCGACACTTCACTCATTTCTGTATAAATAAAGAACAATTTTTTTCAAAGATAATTTTAGCAGGAAAAAATGCAGAGTCTACATCATCCAACACAACTATTAGTACAATCTTTTTTTTTTTTTTTTTTTTTTTTTGAGACAGAGTTTCGCTCTTGTTACCCAGGCTGGAGTGCAATGGCGCAATCTCGGCTCACCGCAACCTCCGCCTCCTGGGTTCAGGCAATTCTCCTGCCTCAGCCTCCCAAGTAGCTGGGATTACAGGCACACGCCACCATGCCTAGCTAATTTTTCATATTTTTAGTAGAGATGGGGTTTCACCATGTTGACCAGGATGGTCTCGATCTCTTGACCTCGTGATCCACCCACCTCAGCCTCCCAAAGTGCTGGGATTACAGGCTTGAGCCACCGCGTCCGGCCTAGGACAATCTTTAATTTTTTTTTTTTTGAGACACTGTTTCAGTGTCTTGCCCAGGTTGGAGTGCAGTGACTCAATCTTGGCTTACTGCACCTCGACCTCCAGGATCAAGTGATCCTCCCACCTCAGCCTCTCAAATAAGTTGGGACTGCAGGCACCTGCCATGATACCCTGCTAATTATTGTATTTTTTATAGAGACAGGGTCTCACTATGTTGCCCAGGCTGGTTTTAAAGTCCTGGGCTCAAGCGATCCACCTGCCTCAGGAAGTGTAGGGATTATAGGCGTCAGCCACCATGTCTGGCTAATTTTTTTTTTAGAAAGAAAAATCAAACAGGAAGCTCTCTTCTGGTTACAGTGCCATTTCCTGGTTAGAGTAGTGTCAGGAAAAACAGCTACAACTGTTAGGTTCAGTCAGTCGTTTGATAATGCCAAAATGTGAAGGCTTTTTTAGCTGTCTTCCAACTCTTAAAAGTAGGCCTGAAATGGAATTCGTTTTTGAAAATGGCGTATGGTTTTATTAGTATTGCAATTTATATAACTAGGTTTCATTCTTTTGGAGTCTTTATGCATTTACATGGATCAGCCTTCTTTCAAGTCTGACAGCATTAAACCAGCTAATGCTTTCATTTCACATACGCCTTCTCCCTCACAGGTTGAATATAGATAACACCTACAGTCAACACATGAAAAGTTATTTTTTTCCACCAGCTATTAGTGGAAAACCTATGCAGGCCAAACAGTTTTATATTAATAATAGCTCTTTATTTTTTCCCTTCAATTCACAGCTGCTAGCTTAAGATATCTGAATTGACATTGTCAGTTGTTTTATCTCTAAAACTGTTTCCATCTTCATTTGTAAGTGTTTTAAACACTTTAAGGTCTTGCTATTTAAGTAGTCAAAAGTAGTTCTAACAAATTACACGTAAGTGCCTGTTAATAAACATCAATAAACATTTGATGGTGAATGAATTCTAAACTCTATATTAAAAATGGAGACCACTTGAAAAACTAAAACCATCGGGTAAAATTACTGGTGTAGAAATATGGGTGAAATTAATAATGTAGACAGTGAGAGATTTGGACCATTCCTAATGGAGTAAACACGTGGCCAATATGGGGTAGGTTAAAAGATTGCGATACATAAATACAGCAATTTATGTATGTGTGTTTAAATATGTAACAAAACCAAATTATGGTTTTGTTAAAGTATGCAGTAGATACGCAAGTATGAGAGTTGTACAGTAAGGATCAGGAGAAACTGTGGCTATCTCTAGGTAATAGGAATATGGTTTTTTTTGTTTTTTTGTTTTTTTTTTTGAGACGGAGTTTTTGCTCTTGTTACCCAGGCTGGAGTGCAATGGCGCGATCTCGGCTCACCTCAACCTCCGCCTCCTGGGTTCAGGCAATTCTCCTGCCTCAGCCTCCCGAGTAGCTGGGATTACAGGCACACGCCACCATGCCCAGCTAATTTTTTTTTTGTATTTTTAGTAGAGACGGGGTTTCACCATGCTGACCAGGATGGTCTCGATCTCTTGACCTCGTGATCCACCCGCCTCGGCCTCCCAAAGTGCTGGGATTACAGGCTTGAGCCACCACGCCCGGCCAGGAATATGGTTTTTATTTTTATTTTTCAGTGTTTCTAAAATGAGCACACAGACTGAATTCTCCATATTCTGTTACCACATCCTGAGGTAGAAATTACAAATCCCTGATTTTCTATGCTTTCAGAGACGGATTTTATCACTACAAAATTTCAGGTTAACATGACCTCGCTATCTCAAGTTAGCAAGTCAAACAGCTTGGTGAATAGTTTTACCACATCCCTTATAAGCAAGTAAGTAACATTACATTGGTGTCTTAATATTTTCTGAACAGACAGTGAAATAAACGAATTTGACCCAGGACAAGGGATACAGGAGAAATACTGGGATATTCAGAATTAGAGAAAATGGCAATGGAGCCTAGAGTACTTAATGGTAAATTGGTGTTGTATCTGAGCAGTCCGCTGGTTTTGGATACTTCACCATCAAACATAGAGATGGAGCAAGTCTCAGACACACATTCTGATCCATTCACTGTAGTTCATACCTGAGTTTGAACTAATGAAGGCCTCTGTGTCCGCATTTCCTGGATCAAACTGAAAACACTGAAGTTCTCAGGAATGATCTATCAAATTAAAGGGGAAAACATTTTATTCCTTTCAGTCCTTTGTTAATAAATTATTGCTACTTTCTCATAGTCTTGCACTTCCCTGGCATCTGCTCTTCTAACATGAGATAATATCAGAAAAATAATGCATTTTTAAAACAAATGAGGTTTCTTATCACTTGCAACATGATTTAGAGCCTGGTGTTTTCCTTAGAAAGACTAAAGAAACTCTTCAGAATCATTTCACATGGTGTAATCAAATGTCTAAATCTAGATTTAATGAGGGACAGGATTCAGTAGATGTGCAAGTATGAGAGTTGTATAGAATAAAAGAGGGTGATATAGGTCTAAAGGACATATTTTGAACTTCCCATTTCTTACTAGACATTAAAAAATGATTTATAGGTTGGAACGCAAAGTATGATTGCAGTAAGTTGAGTCCATCCATTAAAGCAGTTTGGATAAAGGAAAAGTAACTGTATAACTTAGGATAGTGGTCCCCAAACTTCAGCAGGCATCACAATCACAGCCGCTCAGGCCCCCATCTCTAGAGATTACGATTCAATTCAATGGGGTGGGGCTCCAGTAATTTGCATTTCTAACAAGTTCTCGGGTGATGCTGATGCTTCTTGTCTGGGGACTATCCTCTAAGACCCACCTACCTGGGAACTAATTTAATCACCTGACAGAGTGGGTCTACAAGTACATTTTCTAGAAAAGATGAATCATGAAGATAGACGTTTCATAGAAAAGGTGAATCACAAAGAAGAAAGCAGTGGAGTAAGGAAACGGGAAGTGCCTACTGAGGGAAACTCACCCCATCTTTTAGCAACATCCACGTGTAATCAATAGCACAAATAACACCAGTCCTTCCACAGCCAGCACTGAAATGAAAGATCACAGTAGCATGTATGCATGTATACTAGAGAGAATGGACCATTGACAATAGCTGGAAAATTTTACCAAGAGATCTGAGGAAGAAGATGCCTGGGAACAATTAAACTTTCCAAACCCCATCATTTCTCAGAGCACATTTGTCATGCCACAGGTCCTGGGCAATTTCTCAGAGCCAGAGTCTCTAGAGCGGTACTACTCACAAGTAACTTATCAGAAAAAAAAACATGAATTTAATGCTTAGGTTGAATTTATTATCATTTGTTTCTGCTATTAGCCTTTTCCCCTTTCAGTTAGAGTCCTGGCCAGACTCTGACATTTGGGTCATTCTAGGTAGAAGGTTTATACATAGCATCATACCTGCAGTGAATACATATGGGAACACTGTCATCCTCTTGGTAACAACGTATATCCCAGATGAGCTCAAGAATAGGGTCTGTAGATGAAGGTACATCATGGTCTGGCCAATTCTTGTAATGAAACTGGTAGATAGTTCGAGTTTCCTATAAAAAAAATAGCCAGACAGGAGGGGAAGAGGGACAAGGGCTGAAAAACTACCTGTTGGGTACTATGCTTACCACTTGGGTGATGGGATTATTCAGTGGCACACAGTATATACGTAACAAACCTGCACATGTTTGCCCTTATACCTTATATTCTAAGATTAAAGTTGAGGCTGGATGTGGTGGCTCACGCCTATAATCCTAGCACTTTGGGAGGCAGAGGCAGGCAGATTACTTGAGGTAAGGAGTTCAAGACCAGTCTGGCCAACATGGGGACTCCTGTCCCTACTAAAAATACAAAAGTTAGCTGCGCATGGTGGCACACACCTGGAGTCCCAGCTACTGGGGAGGCTGAGGCACAAGAGTTGTTTGGACCAGGAGGCACAGGTTGCATAAGCCAAGATTGCACCACTGCACACTCCACACTACAGCCTGGGTGACAGAGTGAGACTCTGTCTCAAAAAAAAAAAATTGAAATTATTTTAAAAATAGCCAGGATAATAAGACAACTCAAGGTTAGAACCCCACCTCATTATACCAAGACATTAGTTTGACATACTGTTTTATCTACATCCTTTTTGAAATTTATTCCGCTTTCTTTTCTATACATCTCAGGTGACCAGATGCTTTCTGAGAACAAAAGTGATTTCAGGTCACTTACTATTGGTTTGTCCCCATCTGCCTCATTCACAAGAGGAGGTAGCTGAATATGAAAGTAGTTCAAACCAGTGTTTCCCAACTGGTGTGCCTTAAATGTGTCACAATTGTGCAGCTATATTAAATCTCTTTGCCTTAGAGAAGCTGGGTAGGGCCTAGGGCAGCCCAGGCTCTCAAACTGGTTCCCAGTCTTTATGCAGTGTTCAGCTTCGGTTCACCCTACAAATATTATCATTTTTTATGTGTGCCATGGTATAGAATAGATTGAAGACATATTACACCAATGATCTCTTTTTTTATTTCTTCTTCTTTGAGACAGGGTCTTGCTCTGTCACCCAGGCTGCAGTGCAGTGGCACCATCTCAGTTCACTGCTACCTCTGCCTCTCAGGATCAAGCGATTTCTCCTGCCTCAGCCTCCAGTGTAGCTGGGACCACAGGCAAACACCTTCACGCCTGGCTAATTTTTTGTGTTTCTAGTAGAGACAGGTTTTTGCCATGTTGGCCAGGCTCAAAGTTCTCTTGAATATAAAGACTTATTTGGGACATCGAAGCCCCTACGACTCCCCATTGTCTTATGCCCAGTCTGAGCCACGCACATCTATATTTACTTGCCTGATCTCTATAGGATTTTGAGTTTATCGTTTTTATTTTATACTTACATTATTGAACTTAACTTTTAGGTTCCTGATTATATAATCAGATTTCCTTTTTTCAGCTTCCTAAAAAGAAAAAGAAGACTAAAATATTAGTTACTGTGAAGACAAGGTCTCTGTAAGGTAGACCCTGGAGGCTTTGCTCAGCTATGAGAACAGACATTTTACTTACACAGGATATGGAGAAAGGGCCAAACTGCAGCTGCATCTCTCCTGGCTCGGCCCAGTAGCGCTCACACTTTTTCTGTTGCACAAAGCAGAATGCAGTGATTTCCCTCCATATATTCTAGTCTCTTCTGGGAATAAAACCCACTCCCTCATTTGGAAGCAAATTCAGCTCTGTGTCCTTCACCTTATGTTATACGTGTTTAACCCCCTTGGGCTTACAAATCCCAACCCCTACGTTATTGGGATCTCCAAAGATGGGAAAACAAATATAAAAGGATATTTAAATTACAGACCTCCTGGGAGTCTGAAAAAGTAGAAATAGAAATCTTTGACCTATATTCAGTATTTCAAAAGAACTAACAGAAACTGTAGTTTCTGTTAAAACTAAACAGCTGTCTACTAAACAGCTGCACAAGCTAAGTAAAATACCTAGTAGTTTCCTGGTTTTGATTAGAATTGTCAACTCAGAATGGCAACAGTAGAACAGTGATATCCAGTAAAATATAGTGTGATCCACCCATGTAATTTTATTTTATTTTATTATTTTTTTCACCCATGTAATTTTAAATGTTCAAATAGATACAATAAAAAATGAAAAGAGATAAAATTAATTTTAATAACATATCTTAGCCCAATATATCAAAACATTTTGACATGTAACCAATATAAAATAATTATTAAATATTTGGTATTTTTTACTAAGTGTTCAAAATCCAGTGTACATTTTATATTTTTAGCTAATTTCAATTAGGATGCCAAATTTTGGAAATATTGTATTTCCATTTAGATTTAATAAAACTTACATTTGAAAAATTTTCACCTACTCAAATAGCTTTCTGCTAACTGAATTGCATGTCAGTTTTTAAGCTTAAATCAATTAAAATAATTGAGCTCCCCAGTCACATTAGTCGTATTTTAAATGCTCAATAGCTGTATGTGGCTAACGGATGCAATGTTGGACAGCACAGGATTAAAAGCTCCAGCTGGCAGTTAAAGATATCTGATTAATAGAAATGGGCAAGTGATTTGTGAATCTTAAAAGCATATCTTGTATTTAACTTCAAAACATAGGGTTTACTGAGAAAACAAATAAAAAGGATACTTGGGGGGGGGGAATCCCTTGAGAGTCGCGTGGCATTCCTAAACTGAAATCTAGGAAGATGACCTAAGTTGTTGTTGGTTTTTTTTTTTCTTTTTTTTTTTCTAGAAAAATGACTGAAAAAGACGTAAGTTTGGCACATTTAGGTAAGTTCTGCTGCCAATTTCCCCCTCCTTTTTCTTCTTTTTTTGTTTTTAGGTCAGCAGGTACTAGAAAGTAACTTACCTTTCCCATTTCATACTCCATGCATGCCATAACAATGATCTGGGGGATGAAACAGATAGAAACTGTAACATTCATATATAGTTAGAAACAGCAGTTAACACCTGGAGGCCCCAAGTCAGAAAGTAGTAACCATTCTTTCTCTGTTTTGTTATGGGTTTTGTGTCTTTTTTTTTTTTTTTGAGACAGAGTCTCGCTCTGGTGCCCAGGCTGGAGCATAGTAGTGCTCTCGGCTCACTACAACCTCTACCTCCCGGGTTCAAGCAATTCTCTGCCTCAGCCTCCAGAGTAGCTGGGATTACAGGTGCCCACCACCACACCCAGCTAATTTTTGTAATTTTAGTAGAGATGGGGGTTTTACCATCTTGGCCAGGCTGGTCTTGAACTTCTGACCTTGTGATCCACTGGCCTCGGCCTCCCAAAGTGCTGGGATTACAGGCATGAGCCACCACTCCCAGCCCTGCTGTGTTTTTTTCAACCAAAAAAGAAATTCTGGTAACTTATAAAATATTGCTCTTACTCTTCTTTCATTCTGACAATACTTTCCCTTTCTCTGTTCAAACCAGTAATTTTGTTACCAAATGAGCCTGTCAAGGTGAGAAATTTTTAAGTTTAAAATTTATTATTATTATTATTATTTTGAGATGGAGTCTTGCTCTGTTGCCCAGGCTGTAGTGCAGTGGCATGATCTCAGCTTATAGCATCCTCCACCACCTGGGTTCAAGCGATTCCCCTGCTTCAGCCTCCTGAGCAGCTAGGACTGCAGGCGTACACCACCACACACCCCCCACCGCCAGCTAATTTCTTTGTATTTTTAGTAGAGACAGGGTTTCACCATGTTGGCCAGGATGGTCTCTATTTCCTGACCTTGTGATCCACCCGCCTTGGCCTCCCAAAGTGCTGGGATTACAGGTGTCATCCACTGTGCCCAGCAATTTTTATTATTTTTTAAATTTTATTTATTTATTTTTGAGACAGGAGCTCACTCTGTCACCCAGGCTGGAGTGCTGTGGCGCAATCTCAGCTCACTACAGTCTCAACCTCATGGGCTCAAGCGATCCTCCCACCTCAGCTTCCCAAATAGCTGGGACTACAGGCACACACCGTCATTCCCAGCTAATTTTTATACTTTTTTGTAGAGCCGGGGTTTTGCCATGTTGCCCAGGCTGTCTAGAACTCCTAGGCTCAAGCTATCCGCCCACGTTGGCCTCCTAGAGTACACCTGGCCTAGAACTTTTATTTCCTTGGTCAAGAATGGCATTGTGATTCTGACCAATTTTTTGTTCCATTGACCAATTTTTTAAAAGCACTGTTTTTAATAAAGGAGAGAATAAAGTAGCAAAAGCAACGCTCTGCTTACCAGGACACGGTATTCCCAAATCATCCTCCAGAAGTCCAGCAGGGTTGTAGATAGAGGACCTTGGGTGGCGATATAAGCCTTGGGTCCATAAACTCCCTAAAGGGGAAAAAAATTACATGGGGTGACTACAAATAGTATCCTGTTCTCACCTAGTCCTCCTGTTCCTCTTTTTTGAGGTGTCCTCACTGTGTTACGCAGGCTGGAGTGCAGTAACATGATCACAGCTCACTGCAGCCTTGACCTCCTGGCCTCAAGCAATGCTCTTACCTCAGCCTTTCCAGTAGCTGGGACTACAAGCACATATTACCACACCTGGCTAGTTTTATTTTTTGTTTTTCGTGTTTTTTGTTTTTGAGACGGAGTCTTGCTCTGTCATCCAGGCTCGAGTGCAATTGCACAATCTCAGCTCACTGCGATCTTCACCTCCCAGGTTCAAGTGATTCTCCCGCCTCAGCCTCCCGAGTAACTCGGATTGCAGGCATGTGTCACCACGCCCAGCTAATTTTTGTATTTTTAGTAGAGGCGGGGTTTCACCATGTTGGCCAGGCTGGTCTCGAACTCCTGACTTTAAGCAGTCCACCGGCCTCAGCCTCCCAAAGTGCTGGGGTTACAGGCGTGAGCCACTGAGCCCCGCCAATTTTTAAACTTTTTGTCAAGATGGGGTCTCTTACGTTGCCCAGGCTGGTCTCAAAACTTTTGGGCTCAAATGATCCTCCCCTTTTTTTAGGTATCTAGAGAAATGTGGAATGCTTTTATTTTCTTTCACTGTACCTTAATGAAGTTAGCATTGATGTAGCTGGACTCCTCATCAGAGGTTATCAGGGATAGTTCCACCCGGCTATAATCATCTATAATGAAAAAGACAGACAGTACAATTAAGAAGGCTTAGTCAGCAGATTTAAGTCAGGGCCTAACACTGTGAATAGAGTCTGCTCATGAGTGAACAAGTGCATGAATGAATTAATATTCTTTTGCAGTCACAAATAGTACAAATTAAGTTGTCAATGCCATGTTCCAAGATCAGGATCAGTAAGCAATGAGTAAAAAGAGATAGTAATGATTGAGTTTGGGAGAAAGTATGAGTTTATAGAAAGAAATGGAACTTACAGGGCAAAATATCCTTATATCTGTTTTTCTTGATGTTCTTGGGCTTCTCAGCCACAGTTGTAGGATAGGTTTTGTCTGCCTTGTATTTGGTAGATTGCCTTTTCAGATTCTGTAATAAGATTCCAAGAATAATTAATCTTCATGGAGAAATATAAGAAGCTATCTCTAAAGTGCTTTTCTTTTCCACTGCCCAAACATTCTACCTCAACCCTTTTATTATCTTCTGGGGCTTTCTCCATTCAGGACAGAGCTGCAGAGAATAAGGAGAGCGGAGTTCAGTGACATTTGGAGAAGTGAAAAGATCACACTTACTTCAGCTGAGCCACCGATAGTCACAGACAGAACTTAAAGGTGAAACTTGTGAATATTTTAAGAAACAGATATCTTCTGAAAGCAAAATATATGCTCCACTCAAAGGGCAGATATTAAAAGCTTAATTTACTTTCTTTATATATACTTTTTAGTTAAATGGTCAACTGGAAAATTAAGTTCCATTAGTGTTTTGACTTCAGATCACTTTCTTTTCTTAAGTGGAAGTGAAGCTTAAGCTGAACAACATCTCTCTATATAGCAAAATTTCAAAGATTTCAGTTCCAAAAATCAGTCACTTTTTTTTTCTTTTGAGATAGAGTTTTACTTCATCACCCAAGCTGGAGTGCAATGGCTTGATCACAGCTCACTGCAGCCTCAATTTTCTGGGCTCAAGTGATTCTCCCACATCAACCTCACCTCCCACCTCAGCCTCACCTCCTGAAAGCTGGGACCACAGGCATGAGCGTCATGCCCAGAGAGTTTTTGCATTTTCAGTAGAGAAGGTATTTCACCATGTTGCCCAGGCTGGTCTCAAACTCCTGGGCTCAAGGAATCCGCCTTCCTTGGCCCCACATAACTTTTATTACAGTATATTATCATAATTATTCTATTGTATTATTAGCTATTATTGCTAGCCTCTTGTTGTACCTAATTTATAAATTGACCTTTATTATAGATATGTATGTATAGGTAAAAAGAACGGAGTGTACATAAGATTTGGTACTATCTGCAGTTTCAGGCATCTACTGTAGGTCTTCAAACACATCCCCCATAGAAAAAGAGAGCCTACTGTAGTTTGAATTCTGGATTTTCAGAATTGGATTTGAGAGGAGAGATACGAGAGATACTGAACTGATACCTTTTGTTTGTTTGTTTTCTTTACCTTGAACCCCGAGAAGCTTCTGAACTATCTTTATAGCATATTTTTACTTCAAGATGGGAATGGATACAAGTGGACTAATTTGGGAATTTAAGGACACGTGAAAGACTATGTTGAGTTTCTACTGAAATGACACCAAATTTTCAGCTCTCCCTGCTCTTAAGAAACCTCAGAATGATCATTTTCAGGTTGCTGTTGATCCCAGGGCTGCTGAAAAGATCTCAAGTCCCAAAACAGTTTCTTTTAGAAATCTCCAGAACTAAGCTCAGTGCATACTCCTTGTGATATTGTTTTTATTTATTTTTGTTTTGTTTTGCTTGTGGACTGCTTTCTAGGGAGAATGCTATACACAAAGCCCTTTGTATAAGATAAGCTTCAATTAATTTGGCAAACCGTCGTAGATAAAGGTGATGTGTTTGTGTATGTGTGTCCTATATCTGTTTGGCTGCCTTCACCGCCACCTTCAACAATGAGGCAGAAGAATAGCTTTCATTTTTCCTACTCCTTTCCTTCCCCTGGAGTAATCTGGCTGGATGACAAAGGGAGACACTCTTAGTGAAACACCACATAGGAAATGCCTGCAAAATTGTTCATTTGTAATGCATGAAAGATTTGATTTTTTTCCCCTCAAACATCTTATCTTAAGGTCATACCACTGTGAAGGTTCCGTTTTCTTTCTTTCTTAATTTTTTTAAAATTGAGATTGAGTCTCGCTCTGTCACTCAGGCTGGAGTGCAGTGGTATGATCTCGGCTCACTGCAACCTCTGCTGCCCAGGTTCAAGCAATTCTCATGCCTCAGCCTCCCAAGTAGTTGGGACTACAGGCACCTGCCACTAGGCCCAGCTAATTTTTTTTGTATTTTTAGTAGAAAAGGGGGTTTTGCCATGTTGGCCAGACTGGTCTCGAACACCTGACCTCAAGTGATCTGCCACCTCGGCCTCCCAAAGTGCTGGGATTACAGGCATGAGCCACAGCTCCTGGCTGGCTTCCTTTTTCTCTTCCACCCCTCTTCTTGCCAGACCTCTGGGCTCTAATACCCCAACAAAGAACAAATTAGGACAGAATTAGGGCAGAAGAAGTGATAAACTACACCAGAAAAGGAAGAACTCTGAGAGTAGAAAGCAAAAGGGTATAAAAGAGAAAGTAGGGTCATGGGGATGGGTTTAAGTTTGGGAAGAAAAGATATGAGATCTAAAGGGTGAAGGTATTTCTCTGCCAACTACAAGGTAGAGGGGATGAGTTTCCTAGAGGAAGCACCATCAAGAGCAATCAGGGGAATAGTTGCCAAGAGAATAAAGTGAAGGGGCTGGGTGCAGTGGCTCATGCCTGTAATCCCAGCACTTTGGGAGGCCAAGGCAGGTAGATCATGAGGTCAAGAGATCGAGACCATCCTGGTCAATATGGTGAAACCCCATCTCTACTAAAAATACAAAAAATTAGCCGGGTACGGTGGCGCATGCCTGTAATCCCAGCTACTCAGGAGGCTGAGGCAGGAGAATTGCCTGAACCCAGGAGGTGGAGGTTGCGGTGAGCCGAGATCACGCCATTCCACTCCAGCCTGGGTAACAAGAGCGAAACTGTCTCAAAAAAAAAAAAGAGCTCAGTATCCCTCATGAGCCCTGAAATAGGGTGGAATGTGTGAGAAACCAGATTGTGTGTGTGCTTGATAAGCTAATAGTAAGTTCATTTGGTTTGTAGATGATACTACTCCTTTCCTTTCAAGAAAGGAGAGGAGAAAGGGGGTCCTGGCCAGTATAACAAGGAGTATTTGACTCTAGAAATTCAGATTGCATCACTGCATGTGATTCTCATAGACTAGTAAATAAATGCACTCTCAAAAAAGAACAGAAAATAAAAGGAAAGCACAAGACCAGATATCTTTGCCTTAAAGGACTACATTACTGTTTATAAGTCACAGCATTTTAGAGACATTTTAGAGAGAGGAAAATCAAACTTGGCCCTGCTGTGCTAGATGGGAGAGGACAAAGTTTGGCTGTCTCTGGAACTCTGCAAGGTAGTTCCTCAGTGCCTTGCAAATATAGGTCAGTATTATGCCAAGCCTCCACCAGGACAGAAAAAGCACGAGTGGTAAGTAATGGCCCTTAGGAGCTCAGGCCTCTAAATCCAGTAGACAAGAGTACTACCAGTAGGAATGGAGGACTTCATTGTCCGAGTCTGCAATACAATCATCAACAAGGCAGGCAAATTTATTGAGGTTAGTTTCTAGGGCAATAGCGGGGCAAATGGGGGTGGGAGGCAAAAGCTAAACTAGGGTGAGTAAACCAAGAGGTTCAACCTTAGATACATAAAATACGAGAAAATGGCAAGACATGTGTTTGTTTCTGAGATGGAGTCTTGCTGTCGCCCAGCAGCGAGTGCAGTGTTGCAGTCTTGGCTCAGTGCAACCACTGCCCTCCAGGGTCAAGTGATCCTCACACCTCAGCCTCCCGAGTAGCTGGGATTACAGGTGCCCGCCACCACGCCCGGCTAATTTTTGTATTTTTAGTAGAGACAGAGTTTCACCATGTTGGCCAGTCTGGTCTTGAACTCTTGACCTCAAGTGATCCACCTGTCTCAGCCTCCCAAAGTGCAGGAATTGCAGGTGTGACCCACTGTGCTCAGCTAAGAAATGTGTTTTAAGTGTCTGTGAGTAAATGAAAATGTAGGACTAGATAACCCCTAGTGAGAGGCTGGAGATGGAGTTAGAGAAATCAGCTTCAGAGATGACGTGATACATTTATTCTGGTGGTGGCATTTTTTTCAAATTGCACCTTAATGTGCACAAAGGTCAAGAAATGCTGATAAATATGTTCAAGTGATAGGCTGCTTCGCAGGAACTGGTAGTAAACATCACAGATGTTTGTGCACTTGATCTGAAGGATGTACTATGTTGATAACTGCTTGGTTAGTATTGTTCCTGTAATACATACAGAACAAGGATGCATCTATGTCTCCTTTATAGAACCAAGATGTAGCCAGGTTTTTGATCTGTCTCAGATTTTCTAATGAGTCTCCAGAAGTTGCTACAGTATCAGTCTGACTTCTAGTGTATTTTAAACCTTTAGCACTTAAACCTGGCTTTCAGAACTAGGTATCTTCTTTCTATTAGGATTCAGTGAATGCTTCATTTTTAATAAAGGTCTTTTTTTTTTTTTGAGATGGGGTCTCACTCTGTCACCCAGGATGGAGTGCAGTGGTGCGATCTTGGCTTACCGCAACCTACCGCTGCCTGCCATCTTGGGAGGCTGAGGCAAGAGAATCTCTTGAACCTGGGAGGCGGAGGTAGCAGTGAGCTGAGATTGCACCATTGTACTCTGGCCTGGATAAAAAGAGTGAAACTCCATCAAAAAAACCCAAACACACTGAAATTGTGGCAAGTGCTGTGAGAAATAACAGACAGTGCTATTAAGAACTTATAATGGAAGAATTAATCTATTCAAAGAGGTCCAGAAAGCTTTCTCTGGCCAGGTGTGGTGGCTCATGGTTATAATCTCAGTACTTTGGGAGGCTGAAGCTACAGGATCAGCTGAGAGGCTGGAGGATCACTTGAGTCCAGGAAGTCAAGTCTGCAATGAGCTATGATCAAGCCACGGCACTCCAACCTGGGTGACAGAGCAAGACCCTGTCTCAAAAAAAAGAAGAAAGGAGAAGAAAAGAAAGCTCCCTCTGAAGAAGTGACCACCAAACTGAGATCTAAATAACTATTAGTTGGGCATAGTGGCTCACACCTGTGATCCCAACACTTTGGGAGGCTGAGGCTGCAATTAGCCATGATCACACCACTGCCCTCCAGCCTAGGTGACCAAGTGACACCCTGTCCCAAAGAGAAAAAAAAAAGAATTAATGTTATTTAGGTAAACGGGGGTGTGAGGAATGTTCAAGGAAGAGGTGCGTGCAAGGCCCTGTGGCAGAGGAA